TGTTTGTTTGATAAACAAGAGCAATATTTCCGGTTTAATTTAAATGTCCTCTCTTGCTACTTATGCGCAAACTATCGAGAGAAATTGCGTAAATTTAAAGGTCCCGCAGTGTAAATTATCGTTAATGCAGAACGATTTTGTAGAACTGAAGAAATTTACTTAGGTGCAATAACAGAAAACCATCCTCAAAGTTTAATTCTTACCTTTTGATTTTTCAAACATTTGTCTTTTCCGGACGAGCCATCCGCTGTACTGTCCACAGATATGAAAACCCTTGGCCGTAGCACACGCTAGCGGCTAGCAGGTTAACGTGACGACAAAAAAGTTTAGCTAGAAAAAAACTAACGCACTAGTGTCCATAAAATGGCTGAATATCAATAGAAACTACTTCATTATGTAGCTAAAACGTTAAAAGTTTGTTTGTGTCAAGTTATCTTCCCTTCGTAACATCCACGCACACTCGACAACGACCTAAATTTTGTTTGTTTGAAAAACAAGAGCGAGCATTTCCGGTATAATTTACAAGCTGTTGCTACGCATGCGCAGATTAGGGAGAAGAAATGACGTCAATTTAACTATTAACGTGAAAGAATCTGTAGCTGTGTGTACAAATTTATAGAAATTTAAAGAGAAACATAAATAATTAGAGAACATATGATAAGTTTCTTAATAACATTTTAGATCTCCAATCAAACATGGATCTTGATAAAATAAATGATCAGAAATATTTGTATTTTTTATTATATTTTCCATATCTTTCCATTAACATCAAACAAGGTTAGTCAAAATATTTTAAGACAGACTACTAAAACTAAATGAACCCTATGTGCAGCTTACGTAAATCCCAGTCATTTTTGTTTCAGTGTGATTAAACTAGTTATCTAGTATATGGATTCATGATAAATTAGAAAACAATAAATGAGAATTCTCGGTCTAATTAGCCTTCTTTCAACACTTGTAAGAAAATCACTTATACTCAGTTATTTTAAACTATGATCTGTCCAAATCTGGTTTTCTTTATTATTTCTTTATTATTATTATCTTAAATATTCCGGAAGACTTCAATTTATTTAGTTTCAAATAAAAACAAAATCACTGTTGCTGGTCTAATTTCACTGTTTCACTATAGAAACAGTCATTTTTTTATTCAGAATCTATGTCTGATACCTATTTGTGGGCCCCATACCCATGTTTGTGACTATTTTAATATACACCCAACAGAAACCCAACCTCTAGTTGTCGAAAATGACCTTGATCTGTCCACACGCAACAACTAAGACTTGCTTTAACCGCGTGGTCCTTTTCAAACAAGAACAACGAGAGAAATTAAACATGATTTCAGAGAGTTTAAACTCCCTCACCCTCCTGAGCCAGCTCAGCTGCTCTGTGTGCCTCCCGCGGTCACGTGACTCCGGGATGAGCCAGATTAACGGTTCTCTGTCCGTTCACTCACTCAAGCATCGATTCAAACAGACGGTGTATGTAACGGTCCTAACACGCAAGTAAGCAGGACAGCTATTGTTCCGATCTAACTGTTTAACTTCAACATTATTCATTTTCGTCCAGCATTCATGAACTAGAAAGTCCTTTTTTCAGAAGGAACAAAGATGATTTTGCCGTGGGAGCGGTGGTACTCGACGAGCTGCTGCCTCTGCTGCCATGTACGAACGGGCACCATCATTCTGGGAATATGGTACATGGTGAGTAACACTGATCACCAAAATACACAAATATGGGCGAGGGATCGTCAGATTGAGTGTCAAGTGCTGTTGAGTTTTGCAGCTCAAAGCTAAGCGCTAGCTACTGTTACTGCTGCTGTTTTCTTTCCATTTTTATCTTGCTCTGTTTTTTTTGTTTGTTTGTCACTTCAAACATGTCCTCAGTTACCATTGATAACAGCTCATTCTAACGGCATCCTGCTTATTTGTCAATATAACAACATTATCAGCCTGTTGTTACCATGTTTGTAACGGTCAATCAACGTGACCAAGGCGTTCAGTTTCCCTATAACACCAAATTATCCAACTCCTACAATTTAAAACAGTCAGAAAGAACTGGGTCACGAATTTTGGGAGGTCATTAAATAGCTGTTTCTTTTTATTAGCTTTTGCTTTCACTGAGAAATGTGTAGAGATGATGAAGTGATGCATCAGATATCTCCGAATTTAATTCAGGTCTTCGATATATTGTCCAAAAAAATAATAAATTGGATTAAAATGTTTTTAGAAAATATTTAGAAGCTAGAGATTTGGAATTTTTCTTTAACTTCTGATAATATAAAATTTAGTATTTAAAGTATTTAAAGTTAAATATTTATCTAAGTATTACTATTAAAAATGTACAAAATTTGGACACGCCACACTACCTGAGTCATTGTGAAACTGAGTGGTATAACCTCATTTGTTTGTGCGTACTCACTACTTTAATATCAGCTGCTGACTTTGGCAATCTGAGTTCACTCATCCCAATTCTGTCAGGCTAAATAATACATTTTTAATTATACCAGGTGGTGTCTTTAGGTATTGCAAAAAAAACCAAAAAAAAAACATGATGCTTGTTACTTCTATATTAGATTAAAAAGGGACAGAGATGATATTTTTGGCAATGTTATGCATAAAACCAGACGAGAAACAGGAAAGAGCAACTTTGTAAAAAATAAATTAATTATTACAAATGATTTATGTAAGGATAGGAGGCTTTGCACTCTGGTCTCTTTAGACCAGGTTGCCTCAGTAAGCCATCACCTAACCCCAAAGACCCGCCTCCATTTTGGTAACTAACCAGCAGTCAGCATTGCAGGATTGTTAATAAGCCTTTGAATGGAGAGGACTTACTGATAATTTATAACAAAGCGCTTTTGGTGAGAGAAGATAAGGCAGCAAGAAAAGAAAACACATTTAAAGTCAATCATTGGAATCTTAAAATCGATCTAGATGCATTCAGTGACGTAGTAACCTCCCCAGCCCATTTGGCTCGACTTGTATTTATGCTGCTCTATTCTATATATAGATATTTTGTTTCCGTTTTTACTCACAGGATAACGTAAGTCATAAACATAGTTCAGTAAGCTCGGTAAATCCATGACCTTTCGTAAGTGTTAGTCCCCTGAGTCTTTTTGACCTTTCTGATAATCATTTGTGTGCTGACAAACTCTGTTAAGACAAAACCCAGGAGAAGACATTCACAATTAGATTTTAGATTTTTTACTGCAAACAGTACTGATGAGCTGTATGATCCAATAGTAATGTGATCTTCTTTGTACTTATCACAAATTAGTAATACATTTATAAATAGATGTGAATGTACTTTTTAATGCCAACATAAAATTTAACATTGATTCCTTTTTCCCGCAGCTCATCAATGCGGTGGTCCTACTCATCCTGCTGTCAGCTCTCTATGACCCAGTTCAGTACCGCTACCACCTTACCAGCTCTGAGCTGGGCACTGACATTGATGTCATGGACGATGCAAGTGAGTATAGCTAATCCCCACACTGTTACATATCCAGCCTGGTACAAATGATCCAGCAGTAAGCAATTTATTGTGCAATCAGAACAGGGCTGTCTCATCGTCTATTTATTTTAATTTAAATTGTAGAAAATTAAAATTTAAACAAAAAGAACTGAGCTTAAAAGACTTTCTGAAGTACATTAGGTGCCCTCTTCTGAATCCAGTGCCCTCTTCTGAATTCAGAAGAGGGCGCTGTAAAGTTAGCTTGAACTTGGAGTTCTTCAGCAACACCAAAAAAAAAACAATAACATTATGTTGTCCAGCTGTTATTTAATGAGACAAACGCAAAGAACCAGTTTTTGTATGGATATAAACAGTGGCTGGGGTTGTACTTTACAGTAAAACAGCAACTTCACTGCATATAAACAACACTGCTTGTTTGTTGTTGTTTGTACTAAGACAATTCAGGCATCCTACTATGATTAACTTCTGGACCACCACAGCTACAGTCCGCAGTTTTACAATTAATGCCCTTCCAGACACAACCTGAGCAGGTCTCATCAAACCCAGAACTTAATTCATGGCTGGAGGGTCTCCTAAGACTGTCCCACTGCAGCCCCAGCCTGCATACTATATTATTAATGTGTCACTTTACATAGTGCATACATTAGATTTTCATTAAAATGTCTTTAAAATAGTGATAAAGTGCACTGTTACAAAACCATGACACTAAACTATTATTCCTCAGAGTCATGTCGGAAAGCTTGGTTATGCTACATTTTCGGCTAAGGGAGCTCATTAAAATCAGCATAGTGTGTTTCTGCATCTGTAACATCAGCTCTCCTGTCTGCTCATCACCACTCTTCGCTGAATGCTGCTCTCAGCACAGTCATACAGTAAGCTGAGTAGGCTCCACACCATAGAGAACAAATCAGAGTGCATGTGCATTTTCAGTGTTTCCCCTCCAGCAGCGATCATTATCATCATCACCATCACAGTTCCCTCTGGAACACCACAGACCCAGGCACTGTCACTGGCTACAAACCACCGCTCCTATTCTCCAGTGGATTAAAACTACAACAAATGTTATCCTGCCAACAGCGGTGTCCCTTCTGCAACATAAGTCAGAAGTTGTCATTTGTCAAACCCTGTCATCATTTATATATGCATGCTTACAATGAATGCAATCATAGTTAAAACAAATTGGGGCATTACATGGTGTCAACAATGTTTTAATTGCTGTTGTTAGATGTAAAGAAAACCCAAATAAGCAGTGACTCCAGTGTGTTAGTGTGGCTCTAGTATCAGTTTTATCAAACTGCAAATAAAAATATCTTCCTTCCACTGCTGCAGGGACTCATTAGTCATTTTTCAGCTGTAATATGATATAGAAATATAGAATATAGAAAATTGTTGTTTCTTTTTTTGTCTCTTTTTTTTTTTTTTGTCAAATTCAGCTCCACTTGCATAACAACGATCCACGTGTTGGACATGGCAGACAGATTCTGTGCCTAAAAGGTGTCTGTGCTTTCTCTCTGCAGACATCTGCATAGCTACTGCAATATCTTTACTCATGATTCTCATATGTGGCATGGCAACATATGGTGCTTACAAGGTAAATAAACAACATTTCCGTCCAGACATGATCAATATTCATGGACAGAAAATATTTTTTTATTGTGTGTGTCCTTTGAAGCAACATGCTGCTTGGATTATTCCATTCTTCTGCTACCAAGTCTTTGACTTTGCCCTTAATACACTGGTAGCCATAAGTGTGGTGGTTTATCCCAATACAGTGCAGGACTACCTCCAGCAGCTGGTGAGTATTACTGTGTAATACTATTTCAAATACAACTACAAAAAAAAACAGCATCTCATATAGCTCAACATGTTTTAAATTGGGAAACAGGATAATAAAAGTTTTTGAGTCCAGTTGAATGTGTAAATCTGATAGTTTTAACATGTAATGCAGTTAGAACTGGATTTGCATCATAGCTTCCAAACTACTTTTAAGTTACGTAAATAATTGTTTTTGTTTTTTAAATGATGCATTACTGCATGACAGTTCAGGTCAAGTCAATTTTAACTGCAACTTACTGTGTATTCATTTCTGTTTTTCACATTTCCTTTTTCTGTCCTTTCCCTGCTTTTATTTGTAATTTTTTTCTTTACCTAAATTTACCTCCTCCTCTCTTTTCAGCCAGGGACATTCCCTTACAAAGAGGACATCATGTCCACCAACAACTTGTGCCTAGTTTTTGCAGTCCTCCTCTTCATCGGCTGCATCCTCTCCTTCAAGGTAAGCTGACAAAGGGTCCGTGCGTTGCTGCACGAGCTCCTATTCTGCAGAGTTTTTGTCTTTTTTATTGTCTCTGCAGTGATGTCAGCTGTGACTGAAGGTGTTGGTTTTCAGTTTGTCCACCATTACATTGGTTTTATGATTGTGAACACAATTTCTTAGGTACATCCTGCAGGGGTTTCTTTTATTTTCTTTCACACTGAGCACAAAGTACCTGGTCAATAAACAAATTACATTTCTGAAGAATATACTCGTTAGCACTGTGCACGTGTGTCCACGTGTTATATCTGAGAAATGCCTCATCTTTAAACATGCTGTTGTACGAATGTTTACCTGCAGTAAATAACAGGTTCAGATAATAATGGTGTACGGTCAAATCCTGTTAAACCACTCACTTACATTAGTACCACTAAATCTAAAACACAGTCACCCAACAGGAACAGACATCAAGATTCACTTGTCGGACCACGTGAATATGCGACACATCATTACACAGATCTTACTCTTTGTTCAGTCATAAACTGCTTCTTTTTATAGATTTTCCTCATCACTTGGCAATCTGATTAAAGCAATTACATTTCACTCACACACATTTCAGGCCACACTGCAACATACGGCATATATAATGAATCTGCCAGTGTGAACCTTTCCATCATCAATGTTCTCCATGAGATTATCACACAGCCAGTGAACATTGGGTCGGGGACGACAGGAAACCCACTCCTGTCAGGCTAATTCCCCTTTGCCGCATGGATGGTTCAGTGGACTCAGCGTTGCTCCAAGGCTATAGGACAGGATGTGATAGGATGTTGCAGTCAACTGTACAATCAAATCAAGCTTTTTCACCTCTAAGCTTAGACCGCAAAATGTTGAGATATCTACCATCAGCTCTGAGGCTTCATGACAGGAAGCAGCCACCGGAGGACACTACCAGACTCAGAGTTTTAAATGTCATGACTGAGGCTGCGTCACAACAAAGTGCATGTTATGATTCAACCGCACGTTTCTCTTAAACTCAATAATAAAGATCTGATATAGATGTGGGGTTCCTCAGCGTATTCTTGACATTTTCAAGTGAAGGAAATCAATAGAACTCTTTTATACTAATGGCCTGCACACAGTGTACTGGGCACTCTAACTTGTGGCGATTATAGTTAAGTCACTCTCTTGGAAATGAAGCAGATCTGAAATCTGAAAGACACATCACGCTCTCTGCACAGAGGCTGCAGCTGTTGGAGTTCCTTTTGAACCAGCATCCTTCCACTCAACTGCACTTGGCATAAATGTCTTACAGACGGGACAGGAAGGGAAAGGAGCTGGAGGAAGAAAAGATAGGAGATGAGGTTAGAAACAGATAACCAATGAGAAAGATTAGAGAAGAGGAGTATAGCATTTTGGGTGAGGGAGAATATTGTCCTTTCTAGTTTCTGTCCATCTAATCACTGCATTTTTGCATTTTGTCATATTCAGTTTTACAGTATGTGCCTAATACAACAACTAATACAACAATCTATTAACAAAGAACTACAGTTTTGTTTTACAGCTGCAGTTTTGCATTCAATTGTGTGCTGTGTTTATGCAGTGTTTAAATTGATCTCAGTTCTACAGCTAGTGTCACACAAATAGAGCAGGTCAAATCAGCAGATGGTAAAGTGATTTGCCAGCAGTCCTACGGGCTTCCTGGTTGGTTGCTTCTATGGCTGGCGAAGGTACCGACTCAGTAGGCTAATCACACATCCACACAATGACTCTCCTGTTACTCTGCCAAGTCAGACAAAACCTCAACCTCAGTGAAGGAAAAGCCCTGCCAGTGAAAAGAAAAGCCGGAAACGTCCACACACACACTCAGTATAGTTTATATATTTTTCAGTAATTGGAATGAATAGCCATGTGTCCCCGTCTGTCTTTATTCTCACAGAGGAGGTGGACACAACACAGTCCTGAAGGTAATGGTGTGTTCAAGGATGTGTTATAGCCGTCCTCCTCCGTAACCTCAATAAATGGATGAGATCATAGTGAGCAGCAGCCTTAATAATGAAAAGTGGACAGGATGTATCCTGAGGTCACCGTGTCCTCTCTGTTTCACCTCTCTGGGACAGGCCTACCTGATTGGATGTGTGTGGAACTGCTACCGATACGTCAGTGGCAGGGGAACCACGGAGGTCCTGGTTTACGTCACCACCAACGATACCACGGTGAGTCCTCAAACTAACCTGCCAACGCTGCACCACAAAGACAGACTAGACTCCACGTCACCAGACTGCAATGTAACTGCTGTTGCGGTATGGATTTTTAAATTTGGTATGACTCACATGCTCTTGGTTAACTATTGTTAAATGTTGTAAAAATATGACATCACCACTGTCTGAACATGTACTACTGTAGTTACGGTAGTAAAATCCAGAAAAACTAAAATACTACAATATAAATAGGTTTATTTTTGTATGTCACTGCAGTCCAAAGAACTAACACCACTGACTTTTTAAAGTTTTACTAAAAATTTAAATCGCATAATAACTGTTACTGTGTTTACAGCTATAAAAATGGAATTGTGTTTTTCAAAAGGTAAATAAAAAAAATCACAAAATTACAATTTCAATTTGTGGTAGATCCAACTTTAGACTTAGTTAAATAACTTGTTAGTCATTCAGTAGGTCATGTGGTCAAAATAGCAGGCGTCATTATTTGCCCTACTCTGATTGGCTAACTCAGACAAGCTCAACTGAGCAAGCAAGAGGCAAAATGGAGGCAATGATGCACTAGCCATAGCTAAATTTGTCAACATCTGTGTTAATGCACAGAATTGCATCCTATATATTTACATTGTGTTTGAAAGCCGTCCTTCTTAACTCTGAGTCAGTAGGTTTAGCACAGTCATGGTTTCCAGTCGTCCGTCTGTGTCCATCCATAATCCTCAACACTCATACGTAAGACATTAATCCCATCTGTCTCCTGTCCTCTGTTTCCTCAGTACACACCACCTCATCACTGTCCTTGTATTGTTGTGTCCCAGGGCCACTGCTGACGTTTTTCTTTTTAACCTTATGAAACAGACACCACCACAGGGCAAGAGCTCAACCAGCTGACGCTGAATTTGTTGTTTCTAATGCAAATGCTGCCATATGTGATGTTTGGTTCAGATAAAGAGGACTACTGTCATACAGGAGAAATTTAGAAAACTTAAATGTATCAGCCTGGAGGAGTGATTGACAGCACTGTTGTGGAAACATCTATAAAAAATTATGGGATCTAAAAGTTTGAAGATGTTATTAAGAGAGAATTCACTAGAGGGACTATTATATTATAATATTTCTACAGTACAATATCCTTTTATTCTATGAAACATCTTTACATTTTGGGACAAATCACCAGTCTGTCAGGACACGCAGGCTTCACAGCTGCATCTGAACTGCACCAGTTGTCTACACTTACAGCAGAAATAACAACATGGAAAAAGATGCAGTCCATATTCTAATAAATGGCAATGACAAATGCGTATAAGAACTCAGCAGAGCGTGAAAAACACTCCATCACTCTCTACTGTTAGAACCCCCTCCTCACTGTGTCTAAATGGCTTCTTACAGCCTCGGACATCAAGTACCCAGCTGCTTATCTGCTCTGCTTTTATATAAATGCCATTAAAATGCACCAGGGTCGTCCCTCTTCCTCACTTTAACCCTCCTCCACCCCCTCCTGCTTGCTCTCACCCTCTCTCTCGCCCTCTCTCCACATATCTCTGTCCTTCCCTGTCTCTTCTGGACATGTTACATAATAGTCTGCTTGTCCACTTCATTTCCAGTCCAACATGTGATGTGTTCGCTGGGCCTCCCTGGCTGGTTCACATCTCCATCCCCTCTGGGAATATTCTCCCTCTCTCTCTCTCCCCCAGTGTGTTAGCAGCAGGCTGGTTTTATAACAGCGTTTACAGAGATGGACTGGCCGTGTGTGTTGGTGTACACACCACAGTGGCCCTCGGTGATTTCTATAGAATGAAGGACAAAGTTTAAAAGAACTGGTTGGAAACACGCCACAGTGACTAGAGCTGCTGTAGGGGCAATCTCAGAGTTAACATACGCTTCCTGTTCCTTGCTTCTAATAATCCTTTGCATTTATCACTTTAGGTTCTTCTCCCACCGTATGAGGAAGCCATTGCCATCCCGCCCAAGGATCCCCCCCCTCAATATATGGGGGCATGAGTGATGTTCTCACTGCTGGAACCTTTATCCTACAACCACCTTTGTACTCTCACCACATCTCTCTTCAACTGTAGGATCTTTTTTGTGGCTAAATAGAAGCAACAAAGTCTTAAAAGCTGGTTTCACCTTGGATTCCTGCCACCTGTAGATTTTGTGATTCTGAGCCAGTGTTGTCATCAACTTTGCCCTTCATCTGTCAGTTGCCTACAACCCATTGTCCTCCCTTCTCCTCAAAGGACAGCTACTTTGGGGACATTCCCTGACCAACACCTAGCCCTCTGCTTGGTAGCTGCTGACTCCCTGGCAGCATCTGAGCTCTTGAACACCCCTGTCCCAGATTAGTTTGCAATTCAACTTTGAGTGAAATGTGGCCACCAACTGTTAACCCCCCAATACTGTGAATCTCCCTCGTGGTCTTGTACGGGAAAAAAAAACTACCTAAAGAGATGGTGAAGGAATTAGAGCCGGGAAGCAACAAATGATCAGTTATGCAAGAGCACTTTTCGTCAGAAACGGACTACGTTCCTTCATTGAATGTAATGTCGGGGGTCTTTTTTTGTAAGACTTTTTGTATAACAGTGAAAACTGAGAGAGAAATATGTGAAATGTGAAAGCTGTCCTGTTGTGATATTAAAAATATATGTGTATAGATGTAGCTGGTCCTGCAGGATATTATATAAGAAAAAAAAATCATTGACCAATAATGTCTTCCTGCTGTAGTATTCTGTCTGTAATCCTGTTAACCAATCAACTGCAAGTCAAAAACTGCCCAAACAATGACTTTCTAACCACAGCCTCCCAAAATTACCTTTCCACAGCCTTCTGTTATCTGTGAAGACATTAATGCAGCTACAGCGTAATGTCCAACTGTTCAGCAACAACATACTGCAGATGAACATTTGTGCTACTGTTTTTAAAACAGTCTGGCTGTTCCAATGCTCACCTCTGGCTAATAAAGCTTGAAAGCATGTTTTGCACCACTGAGCATCCTCAACATGTTCTTACAAATGCTATGAAACATGTCTTTGTTCCTAAAGAGATATTGAGTGATTGTATCGGTCAGTCATTGTGAAAACCACATAAACCTAGTGTTTGTACTGTTTGTTATAGACTGTACAAGTTCATGTTGCTTCACATTTGCAAAGCTATTTTGAGCATTTCAAGTGAAATCTGTCCCCATGTTTGGGCTGTTGTACAACCAGGCTGTGGTCACTAAAGATATGAAAAAGGTTCAGAGTCAAGATTTCTCCTTGAACACACACATACTTTACAAGTAGATACACATACAAAAGACAACACACACACACACAAAAAAGTTTCAACCTGTGGTAACATTTGTCTGTGTGTAGATGTAGATGCAATTGTTTTTACAAGACAGACTGAACGTGTTCCTGTAAAGTCAGTGTGACGTGCTACTGTGCATTCAGATGCTGTATCTGTGCGGTTGTATGAGTGAGTGAGTGTGTATGTGTCATTATGTGATCTCAAGCTTCCATTGTATGTATTGGAAAAATCTTTAATACTATGTTGAGTCTGTTTCTGTATTGGTGACCTGTTTGGAAATTGATGATGGATGGGGATTTAAAAAAAGTACTGCATAGTAGCACAAATCTATACAGAGTACAAGGAGCCAGAGTTTTCCCACGTTTTATACCACGTTATAGTAAATCAGACGAGTCTTAATCATAAATAATCCTACTCTTTCCAATAATTTCCAAGTACAAATTAAATGTAACAGAGTTTCTATGCAGTAGAGACCTGTAAATACATGTACCATAAGTAGTAGTTTATTTGATACTAATACTGTAGTTGGTGATGCAGCCCACTGTTGGGCTTCATCATCATCATCCCTGTGTGAGTTATGACCATGGCTGCTGCAAATCCAACAACACTGAACGACAGAAGCCTCCAATCAAATCAGTAATATGACTTAATCGAGAAACTTTAAGCCCAGTCCTGTGGGGATTAGAGAATCTGTATGGTTTGTTAGAATCACTCCAGACTGTCCTTCAATGCTTCTCCTCCTCTTGTTGGATCTGCATGAGATCATGTCTTCAATTCTCAACAATAAAAAGTCAAATTAACCCACATCTGGAGTTCTTTGTCTGGTGTCTTAATATTTTCATGTCTAATAAAAAAAATCCAGTGTGCAGCATTTAAATGACAGATGGACCATTCAGAGTTTTTTGTAGTTATACACTGATGAGTGACTCCTGCTGCCCTCACAGATCGACTCTCCTCGATGAACTGCAGATCAACAACAGTGCAGCACTGCTCTGAAACAAAGCCTGGATTTACCTCTGGGCTGACAGTGATACATTAGACAGACAAACCACTTCACCTACTTCCTGCCTGTGGAACACTACAAATAGGAACAATGCAACAAATGCACAACAAAGTGGGTCACGTCTGCTCTCTGCTTCTGTTCAAATTATTAGGGATGTAAAAAATGAAGGCTGCATAGAGAGAAGGAAGAAATAATAGTAATCGTACTTAAATGACTTTAATAGTCACAGTAGTTGGTTTAGTTTACTGTTCCCGATTTGACTACATTATAATATCATATAGTTAAAATATATATGACAAAAGTTGGGAGAAAAGCTACTAAAAGACAGTCAACAAATGTGACATCTTAGCCACTCAACCACTAAAAAGCAAATTCAGAAAGTGCCAAATTAGACAACGCATACCTGAGGGTTAGCTTAAAAGTTGCTCCAAACAATAGCCAATTAACAGCTAAATGTTAGCCCAGAAGGACATTCAGTCACCAGAAATGACATATGCTTAAAAATTGGAAAAGGTGAGCAAAACAGTTAGCCTAGAAAATACTGAGTTACATCAACAACAGAAAGGAAGCACAAAAACAACTCTGCAATGAATAGAAGACAGAAGTCCCTGAACAGCAGAACACCAAAGACAACAGCCATGTAAAAGAGCAGAGCTCTGAATGGATTGACTTCTATTTTAAAGTTGTCCTTATTTAATAATCTGCTGCACGTGGGGGAAAAAAAGATCATGCAGGATAATTTGATTCTGTATAACAGGGAACAATGACTACGGATTAGAGAAAGAGTGAGTGGACTAAACTGGGCCAAACCAGGATGATAGATAAAGGTTGGAGACAAATCTCCCGAGGTACTAGGTCCTCAGTCTTCTCTGGAGAACATCTCACATCCTGGTCTTCAGTTCACTACAATCATTTTCAATTAAACTTAAAGTGATTAAAGCCTAGTGTAGATGCTATGTGAAGTAAAATATTTTTAACAGTACATATTGACTCATAGTATATCTGGAGGAATCAGAAGCAGCGACTTACAAGGTCTTCATTACAGTCAACAAGCTACAGATGAAGCAGCTGAAAGGATTATGTAGGGGGACTACCGGTAAAAACAACAACAACAACAAAAAAAACAACCTTAATATCAGCTGTTGTGTAATTGACACAGCTACGTGATGATACGCAGACAGCTGGTCGACACATGAACTGATAATCCCGTCATCAACTTCGAGACAAGTCAGTACTGTTTGATATTTAGAGTTTCTTTTCTTTTACGTTTTTACAATACAGTACAGAAAAGTACACAAAGCGACAAACAGTAGTAACTGGAAACAGATAACAGTACTGCCCTCTTGTGGACACAAGCAGGACCAACACCTCGTTTGGTCTGCGTTTTCTATTGCAAACGACAAACAGTAGTAACTGGAAACAGGAAACACTGCTGCCCTCTTGTGGACACAAGCAGGACCAACACCTCGCTTGGCGTTTTCTATTGCCCATTCCACTGGTTGGTTAAGAGTTCAACATTCAAACATTTTACATTTTGAGACAAAAACTCAAAGTGCAAAGTGGTTGAACTAACAGTAGAAATAACGTGGTTTAACCCATGGACAGCGAGTGAAAATAGTGATCTGGGAAAAAAAACAGAAGAGGAAAATGAACTGTTAACTCTTTATTTATATAACAACAGGGTCAGGGTACCAGTTCTACTGAGCCTGTGGCTGCTGGTCGGGCATACTCCTGATGATGTCAGAATCGCCTGTGAATAGAAGACCAGAAGACAATGGGTCACAACATTTGAAAAAAATAAAACTTATCACTAAGCACTAATGCACACAGTAAAATCATCTGATTTGGTGAAAGACAAAAATAAATATATACACATACTACAAGACCAATGTTATTCATCAATACATTTTATTTCAAGCTCAGGGAACTCAGTGACTTCACAGCAGACACTCACCAGGATCAATGATGGCCAGTGTGCACACCCTGTAGTATTTACCACAAGCGGTGCCAAGCTCAATGTTGTTTCCACTGTAGTGGTGGACACCGGTCTTGGCCAGCATGGCGTAGTACTCAATCTCTGATTTCCTAAACACAGCAGTGCAGAAATAAAAACGTCATGAAAGAGTAAAGGACCAGAAATAAATAAACAAACATCTAGTATATAACATCGGTCCCTACAGTAAACATGACAGAGTTACTTATTTGATTACTATTTCAGAATCCTTGTCAGTCAATCAGTCAGTAATATTGACATCAGTCAATGTCAATATTATCAATCAACAATTTTCTACAGCACGTTACAACACCTCAAAGTTGAACAAAGTGCTTCACAGGGCATCAATTAGAATGAATTCAAACAGGAACAAACAAAATTAAACCAGAAGACAATACATCATATAGATATAGTATAATATATATATAGAAAAATACACGAGAACAATTCAAAGAGCTACAGAATTCGAAGACAACTTTAAAACTTAGTTAACCATTGTACAGGGACAGACTAGTTTCTACAGACAACTGCCTAATCCATGTTAAACCATATAATTACTATCACAATAACTAAAAATTCTGTCCACTGTCTACTAGATGTAATTAACTCTCTAATTAAATGTTGGTGAGTTTTAGAGCAGTTTTATGACAAGTATAACAACACTTAAATCTATATTTAATAATCACATATGAAATGACCTAACACATTTTGCACTGTCAACAACTCAGCTGTTGTAAACACTTTAGACATTGTGGTAATTGAATAACTCATAGGTCAGTGTAAGCTTTAGAGAACATACTTCAATAGTTAAAGGAAGGTTTAACTATCAACGGACCTCTTCACATCACTGTTTTCTCATCTTTGATTAAACATGGGTTCGTTCACAACACACTGTCTGCTACAATAACGACGTCACATCATAGACAGATTATATGACAGATTTAAGATCCAAATCTTAAATTAAATAAATAATTTAATTAAATTAGATGACTGTCCTTTTCGACTCACCTGAGGGCAGGGCAGTTGTTGGCCAGGATGACCAGCTTGGCTTTTCCCTGACGGATCATCTTTTGGGACTGTTTGTAGCCCAGCACGTATTTCCCACTTTTCATCACCAGCTGGAGACGGGAGTTGATGGACTCCAAGGACTTTTTCTGGACATAGAAACACATGTACCGTCAGGGACAGCGCCCAATTGGCACGAAAGCCGTAGCAGACACAGTTATTTTGAAATACATTTTGTGACCATCAATTTGTGCCCAAACACAGGATAGAAAGGGTCGTTTTTAAGTACATACCTTTCAGTAAGAGTACAATCTCAGACACTTAAGTGCGAAGTTAGCATTAGCCAGTTAGCTCGACAACGTAAATGTATGTGCACACGTTAGAGAACAAACGTGTTAACAGTGAGAGGTTAAAATGCAACAATCCAACGCGTATAATTAATCATCGCGTGTCAACGCTTAGTAATAATTATATAAAGACTTTCTGAGCCTGTTAATGGGCCCTGACATATAAACGCGTCCACGTGAAGCAGCGTGTGCCCCGGCCTCATTACACGGCACTCACCGTCTTCTTTGCTGCCACCATTTTTGCGGTTTAGTCCTTTTCGGCCAAACCTGCGAACACGGGAAGAGAGGAGAAGACATTCGTCAAAGAACTGATTGAAATAAAAGGTCAAAAATGTCGTGGAAAATGTTTCTTTTTAAAGTTAAAGGCAGAGCAATTCTTACTGTGAGCTAACTCCAATATGGCCTCGGAGAGAAAGGAAGTACCACAATGCCTTGCGTCGCTATCTTTAAGAGTGGGTGCGCAGAATCACATTGCGCATCAAAGTTACTGCAAAATGGTTTATGTGTATTTTCTTCTTGATTTTTTAAACAAATACTTTAAACTATGAGTCATTCCGCCATATAAAACAACATGTAATTAACAATTATATTTGAGAAACATGTTTCTACTTTCATGGAAACTTGTATAGTCATGCTTTAAACATGTGGAGTGGTTCATACTGTAAACAACGATGTTTTTATTGTACTTTTTTATCGCTCTTGATGCATACAAAAATGAAGCTCAGCTTTTCTGTCTGTCAAAAACATTTATCATCATCAACATCGACTGTAAAAGTAGACAGAAAAACTATTTCTAATAAAATAGAAATGGTTTGGGGGCCCTAAACGGAGGTTTTTAACTGGAAGCCCCCAATAATTGGGGTGTGGAGGGGGGTTATATGTCTTTGCAATATCTATGAATTAATTTGCACAGTGAGTGTCACTTTGGCTGTTAGATTAGTGTTTAATTTTGCAAGCAATACTTAGTTACTAAGCAGGCGGTTGCTGTTCTCTAACCCAACAATATCTCTTAGAAACAGCCAAGTTACAACACATAAACACAAGAAAGCGGAAAACGCAGGCGTCGGTACTTGGACGCAGTGCGTAATTACGCACGGAAGGTGTAGAGGAGAGAGTTTGGACCAGACTGTTTGTCGCTCTCCTCAGTGTGAACTTCTTTTCTCCTTTTACAGAGACGGCAGATACCTGTGCACGACGTCATCAGCGCAGCCTCAGCCTCAACTGTCATCTCCGAACACATCCGTCCAGTCCTCGGTGCGCACAGGACAGGATGGGATGCTCCACCAGTTCCCAGACTTCAGCGGTGGACACGACACGACCCGGTTCTAAGCCCGAGGAGAGCAACGGAGCCAGCACTACAGGTGACGTCACCGTTAAAACAGTTATGGTATCAATAACAATGCGACAAATATAGCTTTTAGGACATATGTCCTAAAAAATAATGATATTTAAACTGAAAACAATGATACAGAATGGAAGACTATTTTAAATTCCAAAATAAGTCTGGCATTCTGTTGTTTAGCATTTAAACATAATTAAAATATTTATATTTTGTGAATTAATAATTGCTATTTTAATGGACACATTGAGTTTGATGCCACCTGTTGAAGGAAATCCTCTGCTGGTGCTGTTACTGCTGCCATATTAGGTTGCATCCCAGGCTCAAATATATGATAGTGACCACTATTCTGATAAGCCCACTTGTGACACAGTCCACATGCAAATGGCCACCACAGAGTACCTCTGAGTACAGTATCTGGTTTCTGGTTTCTTTAGTGAACCACAGCTTCACGGCCACAGGATGGGAAAGTTTATAGACATTATTTAACACAGGGTTCTGGGCTCTGGCCTAACCTGAGAGACAGAAGGGGGGTGGAGGGGGTGGAGGGGGTGGGGGGGTGGAGGGGGTGGAGGGGGTGAAGGGGGTGGAATTATGTAAATAAGGCGCAGGAGCATGTGCCAGTTCCAGCACAGTGCCGTGAGAAGTCAGACTACAGGCACAAAGGCTTTGGAGCGCCAGAAGCCGGGGCCGTCGGTAGATGGCGGTAACCCAAGAAACCTGATCCAGCGGCTTCTCGGGCGCTCTGTCTCAGTTTGCAGGCTGTGGTTCAGAGATGACCGTTGAGCAGTGGAGGAAAAATGAATAGAGTATGTGCAGGACAGTGAGGGTGGAAGGGGTTAGAATTCTGAAGTGACGTAAAGAAACTCTGACCTCAATACAAAAAAAGAAAAACAAAACCCTCACTTTGCCGTCTTTATCATATTATTATTGATAAGGACACTGATAAGGATATTAGGTCAATCCCAAAATGACATTGACCAGTGTGCTGTGCCTGTTATCATCTTAGAGGTCAAATGGAAAAAGGCTCCCAGGTTTTCTTATTTTTGCCTGTCGCTCCCTTGTCACACCTTAGCCTGAAGAAGAAGATGATAATTAGTAAGCAAAGGAAGTTTCGTCCGTGACACTGTCGGACCGATGCTCCAGCAGAGTCTGTCCTCGATCCAAACACTGTCAAACTCACCCAGTGACCTGTTTTTCTCAAACATGTAAAACATTTTAATAATGATTTTCATAGAATTTTTTTTAACAAGGCACAAATATGCTATATATGCTTGTTTTCTGCATGCAAATGATCCCATACTTGCACAAACGTAAAATACATTACATACAGTACAGCAACATTTCAACATCACTTTGTTCTTTCTGTAAAATTAATTAATTGGTCTCTGGGTGTAAAGATATACTGAGCCGTTCCTTCAAATGACTTTTAGATGATGGCATGGCTGCTTTAATGCATGCAAATAGTGACTTGCAATTCAAATGTGAATGAAACAAAAAGGGCCGACAAGGAAGTGATACACAATGTCTGTGAACACATGGCAACCAGTCTTCAGAGCTGTTAACTCTTAACCAAGTGTTTGTTTTACCCCACACCAAGAAGGGACACATGGCAGAACCTTACTGTGGGTTTAGTCCCCTACACACATTGTCATTGAGCTCTGCTATTACAGTCATTATGGCCGACTCTTGTTGATGTTGATAGTAAAATATTTTAAACAAGCACAAAGGCGGAGCTTCATATTTAGGATAATTATATGTACATACAAATATTTAAAGTCATAAGATCAGTTAGCAAAAAGTAAATACAAAGACTTCTTCACTTTCACTTCTGTGCTAAGTATTGAAGGATTTGTATTTAATACGTGAGCATACAATCACAAGACCTCTATTTGGAGCCTTGTCTGTCCTTCATTTGAATAGTTTTGAGTATGTTGCTCCCATTTAGAAATATCTTTTAGATTATTTCACACTGATTAATAAGATTACAATACTTATGTAATATTGTAATTAACAGTTCTCTACAGTATGAATAAAGGGATCATCGATGGTTCACACCTAACAATCCAGAACTGCAACACATGTTGCCAAATGTTGTTAGACAGGTGAAGCCTTAACTGGCAACACCACATTTTGCCACCTAAGAGTAGAAGCTATGATAGGGCATAACAAATCTAGATGTAGTTGACCTCCCCCTTGTGGGGTGGCTTGTTAATACAATGTCAGGTGGGTGCCAGGAGGTTTGAATTCACTCAAGCTAAAGTGTGGGCTCCAAGTTCACAGACTGATTCTGTTTCTGTAACGGTCTGATAATAATTTACTGAGTAAAAACATGAATGTCCTCACCACTGTGTTCCTAACAGGAGCAGCCAATGAAAATGGTAACGTAGCTGAGGACAGTGCGACTCTTCCAGACCAAACGCCTGCACCTGTGCAGGAACCTGCTGTGGTGGCCACCACTGCACAGACCACCACCACCACCGCTGCTGCTGATCCACCACCAGCAGAGGCTCAGCCTGCAGCAGCCAGTCCACCTGCAGATGCAGCAACACCAGCAGTGGGCAGCACCACTGAGACGACAGCCAGCTCTCCAGAACCTGCAGCTGCAGCTACGGAACAAGGTACACAGGAAAAAGTGCAGTGACCATAAAAAATAGACCACAGTCCTGCAACATGTTGGAAGTTGTATGAAGTTGATCACAATCTGGTATCAGATTCTCTGTAGGAATGGAAGAATAAAAAAGCAAATGTTAATCTACAGATTTAAATGTCCTCCTTCAACAATGAAAAGGAATAAGTCATAGAATGTAAACCAACGGACAAGAAGAATTAATATTATCTGTCTTATTATTATCATCGGCCACATTTTAAGCCCTGACCACAGACCAGTTTTGGTGGTCAGTACAGTGTGTACCTCTGTGTGTGTGTGTGTCACAGAGACATTGTTGTCACCATTGTATCATTAAGGTGCAATTGGAGTCCACAGAGAAACTAGAGCACGCCAAGGGCAGGTTAGAGTGACGAAGGAGGTCAGGCTGCTGAGTCTTCCTGCTTCCATTTCACAGCCAATGAGGAGAGAGGATCTGGTGACACATTAACTGAGGGCAACATGGCAGAACAAAAACACTACTGAGGCTGTTAGCTGAGTTCCTCAATGTTTGGGCCAGAGACCCCCCTCCCCACATCAGTGGAGAATGTCTTTAAATACAAACTAAAATTAATCCAACACATTACAGCTTGTAGTGGCATTTATACACAATGCTGGACCCAGTTTGATTCAAAACAAAATTTCAGAAAATTATAAACTGTACTATTTAAGTCTTTTGTTTTGTTTTTTGTCAGGAAAAGCAGAGGCCACAGTGACTGAATCTGGACCCAAAACAGAGGAGGCTGGAGGTGAGATCTTCAGTTGTGGTTTCATTTATACTCTCTATGCAACGATAACATCTGTGCTCACTCTCCTCTCTTTGTGTTTCCAGCTCCCACTCAGTGAAGGGGAAATGAAATGACCAGATGAAAGTGTCTTCATTTTTTTTTTTTTCTTTGGATGCTCAAGTCAAAAGCGCTTATCTTTATGTTATGTTGCCAAGATGCCAAAATGTTTCTGCTTTCAAAACTGTACATACAACAGAGCTCAGCATTGAGTGAGTCTGTATTTTCAGGACACGACGTTGTCAACGTAACTTGTTACCTATGGATATTTGAATTTGTTACATGTATAGACCGTCTTATTAAAGCCCACGCTCTCTCCCTGAAGCTTTCTTTAAAGATGACATCTTTCTATGAACCACAAAGCCAAAATAAATCACACCATATAAAGGTTCTGTTTGCATAGCTGGCTTTGATCTTACAAATATGTTTGTGATGGATATGACGAGCTGGTTTACCGCAGCTTTACTTTAAACCAACTGTAATATACCTGTTACAGTACAGAACCAATCACATGTAAGAGTTTTGTTTTTGGTGTGAAATGATTTCTCTCTGCAGAGTAAAAGCTCAAATCTGTAATAAGCTCCTAACTGTCAAAAATTAAACATGCCTTGAAAGCATATGTAAAACTATGGAGGAAGAGTGGTTTGAAGTTTGATTTATTTTTTCATGTTGTGAGTCAACTGAGAAGTCAAATTTCTAACTGTAAATTTTCCACCTAAACAATGGAATGTTATAGAAATGCAGTGATTGAAACTGAACCCGATTTGCTTTAACTATAAACATTACTTTCTATGGGTTAGAAAGCAACATTATTATAAGGTTTGTGTCACAAAAAACTGGTGTAAAAATTATTGGTAAATAATTAGTAGACACGGTACATGGATTGTATCATAACTTGTTGGCGATGTGGTCGGTTAGTCAGGAGTCGGAGAGAGGACCCACAACAGCCACTGCCTCGATTTCCACCAGTCCACCCTGAAGACAAATGTTAGCAGTTACCAGTAAAAATCATCAAGGACTACTAACTGATGGGGATGGAGTCAGCTGTTAAAGATTTCCAGGTAACATTTTGACAATTGAAAGCCAAATATTAAAGAAAGAATTTCGCAGACCAGTATTCAGGTTGTTTGTACTTTGTACTTACTCTAGGGAGGGCAGCCACTTGGTAGGCAGCTCTGGCTGGGAAGTTGCTGCTAAAGACTGTAAAGGAAAAAGACAAAACATTAAATCAATAATAATTAAAGGTTCCATCTTTAAATTCTCATTTGAACTTGATTACTTTTTACAATAGGCCTCAGACTATTGAAGGATTGCAGTGATCCCTGTGCCACAGTGCCACACAGTGGTTACAATATGTGCTCAAAACTAGTATTTTGAAGGAGGGAGAGTCTCCCTCACTGCAGCCCACTGGACACATCTCTTATCAAGGTCAGGGAAAGTTCCCCGTCTGTGGTTTAAGGTTTACTAGAGTCTGAAGATAGGTCGCAGCAGTGTAGGGCAGAGCACCCACGGGGAGAGGGAGCGGTCGCGTTACACCTGGGTGTCTGTTTACAACTGGCTGTGCACCAAAGCTTCCATTACACCTGTGTGTTGTGATAAAAGGGTAAACGGTTTAGCGTAGTGTTGTGCTTTTGTACAGAGGAGGAAGAGACGAGTGAGGCTGTCCATCAGAGGACTGCTGTCCATTCTGAGACGTGTTAGTGAAACATAAGCCACTCCGTCCCCTCGTGGACAAGTGATATGATGGTGCACCAATAAATGCATAAATGCAATTACATGCATACACAGATTGAGGAAAACATGCACAGACATGTGGAACCTTCATGGCAGTAGAACCTTCAGAAGGCAATTACTTACTTCTACTACTTTTAAGCAAATAAACCTCATATTTCCCCACACACAAAAGGTGTCAAAGTTTTACAGACATGTAAACAACTAATTATATTATAATTTAATTTAATGTATATTTAATATGAATGATATTTGCAAATTATTTTATATCAATGTTTATCTTTTTATAGTACATAATACAGTCATGCATTCCACTTTGAGTCGTGTTTTAGGCAGGACAAAAGGATCGGCTTCAAGAGTCTGATGCTGCCAAGTTGACTAAATACTGCCCACATGTGGTTGCTTTTATAAAAGCAGCAGATTGCAACAGAACGACGGAACATTTCCGCAGTTAAATTAGTAAGCCACAGCAGTTGCTTATCAATAATAACAACTTTTAGCAGACCTTGGAGGCCAGTACGTGGTGACTTACAAGTCTTGTAAACCTCATTGACGCTGTTGAAGTCATTGATGTCAGCCAGCAGCACAGTCGTCTTCACCACTGAAAGGCAAAGAGTTTGGTAAAGTGTTATGGTGTTACCAAAAATAATGATCATCAAAAAACTGCATGACATCACCCTGATCTCACCGTTGCTGTAGTTACAACCGGCAGCTTTGAGTATCTCTCCCATGTTGACCAGAGCCTGGAGTTAGAGGAGAGGCAGACTGTACTCAAACTTACAGCTTACAGACTGTCAGTGTTCCTCGCATTGTGGGTAAAACTGATTTTATATGATCTAAATGACTGCCTTGAACCATTTTTGGGTTCTTAAGGTTTCACTTTTTAATCATTCAACCATTCAATTAGTGAATTAATTATGTTCACACTCATAAAATCATGCAGGTGATATGGATTTACATTTTCAATAGATCAAATACTTATTTCTAACTGACAGTTCTCCTTATATACCAATTAATTACAGACCACGTGACATGTGATTTCTGCCCACCTGTCTGGCCTGAGCCTGGACTCCTCCATCAACCAGCTGACCAGAGGCCACGTCCATTCCCAGCTGCCCTGAGATGTACATGGTTCTGTCCACAACCACCGCCTGGCTGAAGACACAGGAGACACACAGAGGTATTTTTGTCTTTCAGTCTACAATGTTAAAAAAAATACAATGTCATGTAATCTCTACAGACTAAATCAATATTTAAATATCCTGATACTTCAGATATATATGAACTACATCAAGGTCATTTAATGAAAATAAGGACTAATCGTTTTTATAAACATAGCTCGTTATGTCTGAACTGACTCCACCTACTGACTGCTCATTGGTCAGAGCAGGATCATCCCCTGTTTGAGAAAAGCCCGATTTATTTTTCTTTAAATGAAGTAACGCTACTTCATAATTTCCAATGAACCAATGGATCGGATTTGTTTATGATACGGAGCAAATAAACGCTGCACCTTTAAGAGATTACCGGATGCGGAAATGGGCTACGGTTTAAATTTAAATCTACTTTTTTGTGTTTTATATTGTTAAAACGTCTATAACTTCGCACTGGTTATTTCTTACCTGTATATCCCCTGTCTAACCGGAGCCTTCGGTGTGTAGACACACTGACGGTGGAGAGCTGCCATTTCTGCTCCAGCACTTCTCCTGATCTGCTCAAAGTCCAACTTTTAACATGTTTTACGAGTTCACGTCCATCAGCAAGTGAGTTCAACGAACACGACGACCACAAAAATACGCCCCCGATCGAACACATGGCGCAACTGCACGCTTCGGAGTTTCACGTTTTGTAGATTGTTTGTATATTCGTATGAAATGATCATGTTACCTGTATGGGCCGATGGCAGCCGGAGCTGTAGTAGTGTTGACGATCTTCCTTATCAAGGCAGACATGTTTTCTTCTGCAGACACGAAGGGAAAGAAAATACCAGCTCCAGGAGAAGCTAAATTAGACCAGTGGCGGGTCAGAAATACCGTAACGTACGAGACAGGGCGCACATTTAGAAACTACTGACTTCCGACATTGAGACTATCAGGCTTTCTGCTTGTACACTAGTTGTGTGTGATTTATTAAAATGTATTCATATATTTTTATTTCTTATATATATAGAATTTACGCTAAAACTTCTCCAGTTTCGCTCATGATTCTCCTCCGGCAACGGAAAGAGCGCGTTAAATGTGTGAACTGTAAAGGAGTTGCGCTTGCAGTAGGGGATTTACGGTACAGCAGCTGTTCGGTCTCGTGGTTCTGGCCTCCTTGTGTGGGTCACAGTGATAAAAAGTAACTTACTTTAGTCTGTTTTCTTTATGCAGTTTTTTTAATTATTTCTTGCACCAATAAAAATAAAGTACATAAACAATAAATTAAGTGATTCAAACATAAAGGTGTCAATTTTAACCTACACATTGAATGTAGACAAAGAAAACTTATGAAGTAATATATTTCAAGTGATATCATATAAACAACGTGGCTGATACTGTACATTTACAAAGTAGATGTTTTTTCCTATTCCTATGATCACTTTTTTTGAAAAGCTTTTTACTATAAATGAAAAATAATTGGGAACATGCATAGTGTAAGAAGCAAAGAAATCAAAACATAAGTATTTTAATGAGTAAAAGCTTGAATGTTGGTTACAAATGTGCAGACTTTCTTCATCTAAGAAAAGGCAAAAACTTCAGTGATTCACGTAAATAACTCCTGGAAATAAATAATAGTTACTGAAAGCACAATTAATAGGAAAATTAAAAAAGCTAAAAACATAATTATGTTTGAAATGCAAAGTGACACAGTAAGAGTGTAACAGGCCTTTTGTTCTACTGTCATACAAGACTCATTAAAGACTGTATTTTCAAATATGTAACTCTATGTAACAGCTTCAATACCAGAAAAAACCCCCAATACAGCCCGTATACAATTAAACTTCAACCAACTGCTTTTAGTCTGACTTTCAAAACACATCACTAGAGTCATAAGACATATTTTTATTTCAATATATGATTTATGCTGAATATGTAGATTGTTTCAAAATTGTACCACTAGAAGTTAACCTTGATGTAAACATACTTATGCAAATTGCAGTTGGAGGTGAAAATGCAGTTTAAGTAAGAGTAAAAAAAAAAGTCTTGTCTGTGTGTGTTTACTGACAGTGAACTGAAATTCATAATTACTGTCCCTTTAATGGTTTGATTGCCAGGAAAATCAAAAAAATTAAGAGCTAAAAGTTGGGCACAAATTATCTAAAAGGACCCTTGATGCCTGATTTGATGACTCAGCTGCATCAGTACTCCCTTGAGCCCAAATGTTTAAATAAAAACACCCTAATATTTGACCTTCATTGTGAAAAAAGAGCGACCTCAGCTCACTATCACCGTCACCGTCAAAAGAAACAAATTGAATGCAAAATCGTTAATGCTGAAATATTAAACATATGAGCTGCGGTGAAAGTGAAAGGATGAAATACAAGTTAAAGTAATAAACAATAATCATTTGTGCAGCCAGTCAAGTTTATCAGTCACTGTTATCTCCTGGATTTAACTACAGCAATAAACAGTGCTATGTGAACGCCCAGCTCCACTTTCACTGATCACACTGAAACCATGGATGTTTTTTTTCTACAGTAACAAAAACCATTTAGACATCATTTTGGAATGGTCTCTCTCTCCCTCTCTCAATTTGATGTCAGCTGTCTCTGATCCTCTCTGAACTTAAATGTGATCAAAAACACTAAGTGAATGAATACATGTGAAGCACTGTGAATAAAGTAAAATTAGCTGTAACTTGTCTGACCCATAAGTATTTCAAAAGCATGCACGATCTGTTGGTTACCATCCTGCTATTTTAATCTGTCCAGTTGTCCTGGAGTAATATTGGACTCTTTCGGTGTCAGTTAATTGCTTTTCTTGAAAATATTTTAAGGCATTTTTTCCACTGAATCATCACTCAGATTGTCTTTGGTCATGGATGAACTTCCACAGCTTTTTGTTGCATGTATTTCCAAACTAGGCTCTGTTGTGTATTTACAGTTTTGTACAAAAAGGTCTGAGGAAGAAAGGACGCTTGTTGTTGATCAGGCTGTTTAGGAAGGTTGTAGTTGCTTGTAGTTTTCTTTGGCCTTGACAAACAGCAGGAACAAATCTGGACACAGTGTGGAGTAAAAGGCTTCAAGGTGTAAAGATCCAGAGGCATTTTCTCTTCAAACAGCAACAACAGCAGATGGGGTCATCCTGATTCCTCTGAGTTTTTAGGAAGTTAGTTTTGTGGTAAAAGTGGCTTTAAAGAGTGACAACAGTCGACGAAAGAAGAACATTAGAAGTTCTGCTGTCGCCGCTTCTTTGCATCCATTGCATCCAGGATGGGCTGCCTCTTAGCCGTGTAGCGCTGCCTCAATTCCTCAATCTCCCGCTCCATCATGGGATCCAAGGCACTCAGTCGCATCTGAAGCTCCTCAAAGTCAAGGTTCTTTAACTAGGTGACAGATCAAAGTTGAAAAAGATGAGGATTAGTCAAGTTCTGACGTTAATTCTAACAATTTTTTCTCTTTTTTTCTACTACTGCAGTAAAGTTTCCAATGTCACTAAATGTAAGTTCACCGTGGAGTCATGGAAGATTTTTACTCACAAAGTCAAAGTCTCCGTCCTGAGGAACCTTCCAGTTGTCGGGGAAGACATTCTTAGACTGGATGTGGTAGCCCGGCTGCTCCTGCCGCTGGTTGTGGTTGTAGTTTTCCTGCTGCTGAGCTGCTTTGTTGGAGTCCTGCTTATCAAAGTAGTCCATGAAGGAGGGACGTATGGGCTGCTGTGGGGTCGCGTGTCCTGTGGAGGATGAAAGGAGTTATGATTTAACTCATAACAGCTATTTTAAGAAGTGTATTTTTTAGCTAAACATTTTCCAATTTAGAAGCCCAGTTTGGTCTGAACACAGTGCTGCTCACTCCTCATAGATCCCTGGTCTTCCTCCTCCTCTTCATCATCACTGTTGATAACCATGGTGCCCAGGTCTGACTCCAACATGGTGCTGCTGTGTTCGATCATGGTCTGCGCTCCGTCACTCATGGTGCTGGTGGCCCTCATGGTGCCTGGGCCCTCTGTGCCTGACTTCACCATGGTGTGAGAGTCGACTTCTGTCTCCTCGTCCTAGATGACACAAGAAAATTACACACACGCACTGTATAACGGCTTGTATGCAGCTTTCCTCTGGCTGCCCAGACTGGAGTAACAACGTACGGAGTTGTCGTCTTCCTCCTCCAGCTCCCTCTGCTGCTCCTGCTGTCGCTTGGCTTTCATCTCCATGGCTTCGGTTATCAGGTCTCTTAGGATTGTGACTGGCTTGGCCTGGCTGATGAACGGGTGCTGGGTGTTTAAACAAAACAAAAAGTTAATTGGATACATTTTTATGTCAATAAATCTGCATCCTTAGGTGTGCATGCTGTCTCTTCCCACCTGGAGAAGCTGAGTTGCAGTTGCTCTCTGTTCTGGATTCTTGACCAAACATTTCTTGACAAAGTCTGTGAATTCATCAGTCCACAGCTCAGGTTTTCTAAATGTTGGAGGAGGGTTGGTGGGAATCATGAAGATTGCCTTTAGATAAAAGAAACAGATGAAGATGATTATGAAAAATACATGATTTGATTAAAAAACTGATTTGTTCATGTTAACACTCACTCTCATAGGATGGATGTCAGCATAAGGAGGTTTTCCCTCTGCCATCTCTATAGAGGTGATGCCCAGGGACCATATATCAGCCACACAGTTGTAGCCAATCTCCTGAATCACCTCTGGTGCCATCCAAAATGGAGTACCAATCACCGTGTTTCTCTTTGCCATGGTGTCCTATAAAAAAGAAAGGGCACAGTCAAGACACTAGACAATCAAAAACATGTTGCAATGATTGTTATAAAAAGTTACCGTAAGTTGTCCAGCGACGCCAAAATCTGCAAGTTTGGCGTGCCCTTCAGTGTTGAGAAGGATGTTTCCTGCCTTGATGTCTCGGTGGATCTTTCTCATAAAGTGAAGATACTCGAGACCCTTTAGTGTGGACTTCAGGATGGTCGCAATCTCATCCTCTGTTAGCTAATGTGAAGGACCACAGCAAAGACAGTTTTTTCTAACCAGAAGTGTGAATTTACACTGATAATATATAAACTGCAGAAAGCAGGAATCAGAGTCACATTTTAGACTCAGATGTACGGTCTGTGTGATCGGCTTTATACACTAACCGTCTTGTTGCGCAACCTGATGATGTCAGAGACAGAGCCAGCTCCGCAGTACTCCATGACAATCCACAGGTCAGTGTTCTTGAAGTAGCTGCCATAGTATTTTACTACATATGGGCTGGAAGAAAAAAGTTGCCAATTTTATAGGTAACCAATCATTAAGCCAAACAATAAAATCTAGGTAATACATTTAATTAATTACTTAATTAATTAAAATATTTTTTAATACTGTTAAACCCCAGATGCTGTCATCCCACCTGTCACACTGCTGCATGATGGAGATCTCCTTAATGATCTCCTGTAGATCTGACTCCACGGGAACCTGCTTGATGGCCACAACCTGACCAGACTCCTTGTGGATGGCTTTGAACACGCTGCCATAAGAACTAAACAAAGACATGTATACAGTGCTTTTCACATTTGGAAAAACCAAGACGATGTGCAAGTCGTATACAACAGAAACGTTTGACACGTTCAGGGGGAAGTCAGAAATGACACATGCATCTCACCCTTCGCCCAGTTTTTCTAGCACATCAAACACTTCCTCAGGCTGTTTAGTCAGACTGTCTTCACTCAGCTTCTTCAGCTTGCTGTTAGAAAAAAAAGAAAACATAATGAAAATGAGTCGACTGTAAATTCCATTACTGAAAACAAGTAGTGAAAGCAACACAACGCTTACCTTCCACTTGTGTTAAAATTAGACTTTAGTTAGTGGTCAAATTATGTGAGTGAGATGATGTTTCATATTTGATCTTTTTTATTATATTATTTTTAATAGAAATTGTGTTCTGTACAATACTACCTAAAGAACTGATCAGTTATTAAGACAGACAGACAGTCCGTAACACTGCTTAAACCGCCATCTAAATGTTATTCAAACCACAAAACGAATCGAAATAAGACTATTGTAGCTTACGATTTGTCCAAAATTTGTGTTTTAAATTAGTAAGGAAAATCGTAAGCTACAAAATTTGTGTTTTAAATTAGTAAGGAGAACTGACCATGAGCAAAGTTTGACAGGACACAGCGAACCCTTACTCAATTAGCAATAAGCTAACTTAGCTCCCGTCAACGGTAGCGTCAGCTAACCACGTTTAAACAAATGAAAATGAACACAAACCTTTTAGGCGCAGACGGCTCCATTATGACGAGCTTCGGATAAAAATAAGCAGAAAATGAATGATGAACTATGTCGGTTTTCGTGTTAAGTATGACGATGTGAACATTCTCCAGCGAATCGTTGTTGTTAAAAGAAAGCTGGTAAAAGACTGGAAGGCCAGCTGAGCCCAGTGTCCGTCAGATGATGGACTGTTCAAGGGAGGATCTTTTACCACACCACCCCCTGTTGAACTGGAGTACAAATAATAATAAAAGAACACTGCTTTTGTTTCGGCGTCAAAAACCTATTTTTTCTTTAATTCATGAACATGAACACATTTAAATGTTGTGATCAATTACACCCATTGTATCACCGTTGTCAGACAAACGAACTTTAAATATGCTGTCATATAGATTGAGTGAGCTCTGACCAATCATATTTGATTTTACTCGGAGGTGATGGAAATGTTGTACGCATGCGTGCCGTTGTAGCGCATGAGATGAACAGAGGTAAACAGTTAATGTAAAACGGTGAGTTCAAAATAATTTTAACTCTAGTAGGATATCTATTACATATTTCAAATAATTAGTGATATTATAAAGACTATTAAACTAATTGAGGATTTATTAAACTCATTTTAATGTCACTAGCCAAAACATAGCAGTACCGCTGCTGGTAACTGTTCCGGTGTTAGCATGCTTTAACGACGTGTAATATTGATGTTAATAGAAGCTAAAATAAACTATTCTGTTTTAAAGGATCAGAAATGGACGCCCAGAAAGAATTGCAGCCCCCAAAACAGCAGCCTATGATCTACATATGTGGAGGTAAGTCTTTCTTTGTCCTTATTATTGGTCCTACTAAAAGAGGTATTTTCCAAGTGCGTTTCTGAACACTTTAGTCGTATTTAGAGAAACTAAATCATACAAAACCTCCTTAACTATCATGATCAGAACTATTACACACCTTAACGAAGGTACCTCTTACCGAACCAGAGTACAAGCCACGAAGCGGAGTTGAGTGTTTAAATTCCAGGATATTTTAAATCGGTTTGTTTTTACGCCATCACTTGTTACAAGTCAAGATGATTTTCTTTCCTACTTACTTTATAGAAATCAACCCAGTTCAAAGTGTGTTTTGGACATATTTCCTGCTCTAAGCCTTCTGTCCTTCATCACAGAGTGCCACACAGAAAATGAAATCAAGGCCCGAGATCCTATCCGATGCAGAGAGTGTGGCTACAGGATCATGTACAAAAAGAGAACAAAGAGATGTATCCTTTATTTAAAATTGTTTGTGATAATGCTGCTTGTTTGTGCTTAGGTTGGCTTGTGTGGTATCTTCCAATAGTTTTATTGCATGTAATCTTACTTAAACAACTTGATATGATTGACATCATAAAAACTTCCTTGACCTCATGATTTCAGTGGTTGTTTTTGATGCCAGATGAAGACGACAAGAAGACGCTGTTTTGTTTGTCAATGTTTTGTGCTTTTTTGTAGTGTACATAAATACGACAGTCAGACCTGATCCTGGATTACACTGTTGTAGTGAAAACTCATCATTTTCCAATTCCATACATGTTTTTCTTCAGGTGACTGATAAAAGTTTTTTGGTATTAAAACATGCTCTCACTGATTTTTGTTTTGTTGCTGTTATTATTATAAGTCTGTAATACATCTGTTTACACCACACACCGAGAAACAAGTACGTTAGGTAAATTGTCTACGTAAAATATTTTCTTGTTCAATGTTCCCATGGAAATCAGTGTCTGAACAGAGCACATTTATATATACAGTATATTCATTTATACACGTTCTGCCACACTATAAAAAATACAAAACACCACCACAACAAATACCACCACAAAACACTCACAATTTGCTGAATTTAAAGTTGTACTTGTGTGTACATTTTTATCTTAAACCTTTGTAAGTCGTGTGTTAATATTTCCTGAATATAACATGGCATCATCTGCAGAGTCTGACAACCTGTCAGTATCAGATGTGGCAGAGAAGAGAACTCGTCTCTGTGACAAGTTTGCAGAAAGAGTGGGGACTGACATTGCAGTGGCTCAGTGACAAACAAAAAATGCAAAAACATCACATAAAAATGACATGTACAACATGTATTAATCATCACATCATTCATTTATTTACTTACATCCAGTAAAATCCATTTAATTCTGCTACAGCTTGTCATCAGTGGGTAAGATAGAAGAGAAAATCTGAAGTTTCTGTCTTTCTGTCTCAAACTGTCTAAAAAACATTTTAAAACAGCGCTTTAATTGTGAATATTACATGCCTGTTTAAGGTTCATCATGCAGAGAAGCTACAATAAATTCCCCAGTGATCGCTGGTGTAGCGTCCACAGTCCAGCTTGTCCAGACCCACCAGGGCCATGTGGTCAGGGGCCAAGTGAGGGACACCATCCTTTGTGGCCGGGCGTAAATAAACCCGGTCGAAGCGGCAGCGACTGACATAGTGAACCGCCTTGTTGCTGTTGGCCTTGGTGTCCCACGTGTAACGGCAGTGCTCCTGTTTGCCCAGTCGTTCCCAAATGTCACAGACACCGGAGGGCAGACCCACCTTCGCCACCTGACACAGAGCCCATTCAGTCGTCATCCAGGGTAACCAATTAGCTTATGCAATTAACTTACCGGGCACCCCTGGTTTAAGGACCCCAGTATCAGGAAATCCAAATAAGTTAAATATTTAAATAAATATTTCAATATTTCAATTGTATTGCAAAAATAATGTTACTTTCGAATGAAAACACTAGGAAAAAAATTACAATCATTACATTATCATTTGTCCTCAATCTTAAATCAGAGACAGTAATGCAATAGAGATATATAAGGTTCAACAATCAGACCAACCTCAGCATCCCTTAGGTTTGTGTCTCCTCCAAACAGGACAGTGAGGTCATCAGGCGCCTCCTTCATCCTGTCCATCACCACATGCAGCTGCTTCATCCGTTCCTCTGCGTGGCCTTTACAGCTCTCCAGGTGTGATGTCATAAGACACAACTTCTGGCCTTTAAAAGTCACCTTTTTTTTTTTTTTCGGGGAACAAATATTAATCTTTCAAATAAAAAGAAGCAGGTTAAATGATCGCTGACGATGCACAAACCTGAGCTACAAGCAGATTTCTCATCATTCGTGTTGTAGGGTAAGTAACAATCTCACTGTCCACCAGCTTGACCCTTGACCTCTTCAGCATCATCCCAGTGAAGTAACCCTCCTCACCACCTGGTCAATAGTAGGAAAGACATCAGAGTACTTAAGGATACCTTGATTAACACACAAATACACACAGACAGAACGATTAAATACTATTCCACTAGGTGGCAGCATATGGCTATGTAAGAGACAGGACTGTTAAATATCATAACTCGTGCAGGGAAAATCACTATTGTTTCCAAATAATTAGGCCGAGGTTTCACACCAAGTACGTAAATTGTGAATAAAGTTTTAACTAAAATATAATTTCTATCATTTTAGGACATGCTTTTTTTAACTCTTTAAATCCAACTCATCCCTTCCACAGCAGATATTAATTTTAAAACTGTACCTTCAATTATGTGGTAGCTGACGGCCCGTTTCTTTAAATACTCGACATAGGGTGTAATGAGCTCCTGCAGGAGAACAACATCTGGAGTGTATCTGCAAAAAGAAAGGGATAATTTGTAAGTACTGCCCTCTGGAGACTAACTTGATCCAGTAACATTTATTTGAGAGAGTATGACTCTTTTTGTCAACAGATGTAAACCTAGAGTAAAGAGTAAATTAAAATATATGAGCTCACAAGACTAGGTAGGAGCACAAGCCTCTGGCACGCTCTGCGAGGTTCACAGTGTCAAGTCCATCCACGTTCCAGGAAATCACTGAGAGTTTATTGTCATCTTCCACAGCAGTTGTGCATGAAGACGATGGACTGTCCTCTGTCAAATCAATGCTAGGAAATGTGCAAGGAATGTCATTGTAAACACACTGTATATATTTGACATCAGCGTTTCAGTAAAGAAGTCAGTGTACAGGACAGAAATTAGAAATGTAGGCGTGAACAACTCTCACAGGAACAGTGTGGTAAGCTGGGTGTAAGCACAAGATGGTGGTCAGAGTGTAAAGTTCAGACAGAGTGGAATTGCCTAAATGACTAATATCTTTGCTCTTCTGGCTCACATGGGTCTGGAATGCTTCAGTTCGAAAAGTACAGACTCACCAGTCTGTTGTAGGCTTCTTATCCTCTTTTTTCTTCTTGGTCTGAGGACTCTTGTCCTCCTGCGAAACGTCTTCAACTTCAAACACCCTCTCCATGTCTGCCTCAAAGAAAGAGTTGAGCGCTCTCTGAATGACGAGAAAAGTGCCAAAGATCAATTCGATTAGTCACTGTAAAGCAAATATGGAATTGTTTACGCCCCTTTATTGGTATAATCAACTCCTTAACTCTTTAAGATGTCAAATAAAAATCTACCGTACCTCCATGTCCCAATCATTTTCAGCCAGGTAACACTGAGCCACTGCGATATCAGTCCCCGCGACATCTGCAAACTCGTCACACAGACGAGTTCTCTTCTCTGCCACATCTGATACTGACAGCTTGTCAGGCTCTGATGAGGATGCCATGTTATATTCAGGAAATATTAACACACTAGTTACAAAGGTTTAAGATTAAAAAAATAAAAAATTAAATGTTTTGCATGTTTACTCTTGGTGATGTTACCTATAAATCCTTCCGGGTGGACGCAACTTCTACGTTTACACACGTGCAACTTTAAATGCAGCGAATTGTGAGTTTTTTGTGGTTGTATTTATTGTGGTGGTGTTTTGTTTTTTGTTTTTTATAGTGTGGCAGAACGTGTATAAATGAATATACTGTTGATATAAATGTGCTGTGTTCAGACACGGATTTCCATGGGAACATTTTTTTTGCGCGGACAATTTACTAAACGTACTTGTTTCCGGTGTGTGGTGTAAACAGACGTTTGACATTGGAGGCGCTATTTAATGTTAAATATGGTTTCAATTACTCTGAATACAGTCAAACAGATAATGAGAACAATGGTAAATAGTCCAGGCTACGACAGGGTCCTCAGTAAGGTAAACGGAATACTAGATTATAATTATTGTGTCCGTGTTTATTGTAAGAGTTTTTGTGACTACACGTTAACACACTCTGTGCTTTCAAATTAAAACTGCTGATGCATATATTCTTTTCTCAGGTAGAAGTGTTGTCCGCCACACCAGGGAAGGTGGTGTGTGAGCTGCGGGTGGAGGAAGAGCACACTAACCGTATGGGGACACTACACGGCGGGATGACAGCCACTCTGGTCGATGTCATCTCCACCATGGCCGTCATGTACAGTGAGAGGGGAGCACCTGGGGTCAGTGTGGATATGAACATAACGTGAGTTCACTAACTTTGTTCAACACATTCTGTTTAGATAACCTTGAATGGGATATGTGTTTCAGGGATTTCCCCGTACAATAAAATGTTTAAAGTTTTTTAAGGCATTAAAGTGATAAAAATATGGTATATTATGACTTAATGTATCTGGCAGATATGTAGCAGGGTGATAGTTATAGGTTGAAGGGAAGTACACAGCAAGTTGAAATGATGATAAATAACACTTAATGTGTGAAATAAATAATGGTCGTCTTTCAGGTTTTTTTGAAAACTCAGGGAACCATGTGAATATTTGTGGTTATAGAATTGCTGGTTTTGATCAAACATCTCCGTATCTTTCAGATATATAAATGCTGCCAAGCTAGGAGAAGATGTTATCATTACAGCGCAAGTCTTGAAACAGGGACGGACGCTGGCCTTTGCCACTGTAGATCTTACCAACAAGGCCACTGGGAAGCTCATTGCACAAGGAAGACACACCAAGCACCTCGGTAGCAGCTAAAGGAGCCCCACCCTGTGCCTAAAGATACTTACTTACTTGTCTATTTATTTAGGAATAAAAAGTCACAGTTAATGGAAATTGTCAGTGCTGTTGGTTATATAATTATTTGTTTCGTTAACAACTGCTTTACATATAACTAAAGAAACATTTTATTGTACTCATGCTGCGTCCAGGCACTGACATCTGGCAAAAGCACCAGACAGAAAGTCAATCATAACATATTGTACCATACAGCATCAGTCTCAGGAATGTATGTATAATAACTTAAACTAAATAACAAGGTAATGTTGGTCAACCTTTTTAAATTATTTTTAGCAAAATAAAATAAAATATTTGAAGTCTAAGCTATGTAGCTAAATGAATACACTGAAAACTCAAAGTCGGAAATAAAAATCCAAGTTTCTTACCTTTCCACCTTGGCCGGTCGTCTGGACCAGGTTGAGACGAAGCCAATTAAGAATAACTCTGTTCTCCTGCAGCTTTTAAAGCCAGTTGCAAACATTTTCAGCATCTGATGCCGCATGCTGCGACTGTTTTCAATTTTTCCTTCCTTTTGAGAGTAAAATGTTGTCTGACGTCACATAGTCCACAGAAAAAACAACACACAGAGTTTTGCTTTCAGAATTTGCACTGTATTGGGATATGCTCAGCAGTATTGATTTGAGAATCATCAACAGAAAGAAACCCAGAAGTTACACACATTATAATCGTCCAAATGAACACACTGAATCAACAATGAGCAAAAAAGGAAAAAATGTACTATGTACTTATTCTTTGACAAGCAAGCCTGTTAACACCCAATTATTATTTAGTGAGCATGGCAGCATATTATCTTAGTTACTAGGTCAAATTAAAGTAAAATCGGTTAGCTTTAGGCTACTTTTGTTAGGGTGCTAAACAGTAATTCTTACAACACATCAAGTTTCTCACCAACCCACATCCCCAATAAAACAAAAGTAAAATGTCTGATTTCAGTAGCTTGAATAGTGCATGTGTAATGTGAAAGGTGATCATGACCTCAATATCTAACCAAAACATGTCTTGTGTAAACTGCCTTTCAAGTCACTTGAGATTTTAGCGAAGGTCTGCCTAGCGTTTTTCAGAAGAAAGCAAATGACACCAAAACATCTCTTTTTTAAGTCCAGAAAAAATAAAACCTAAGGCAGTTAATAAGAAGCAAATCCTACACCATATGATTTGACAAGTATTGTTCATCTTATTATCTTTGCGTATACAGGCGTATTAACACCTATTCACACCTGTCCTTGGTCAAAAGACTGTAAAGTTGTTCTAAACCCCTCCTCAGTAACCTCACAAACAAGCTTTAACAATCCTTTCCTGCGACAACAAGGATATAAAACACGTCCATTTGAGAACCACCATGAAGACCTGGGTATTGTTTGTTCCTGTTCTGATGCAACTTAAAGAGTTCCTTCAATGACCGGTGCTGTTGACAGTGTGGCTCCAAGAGAACAACCAACCACTCAAAATCAATGTTCGTGCAGGTTCAAATAAACAAAAATGGATGAGTGTGGAGGAGGGAATGAACAGGGAGAAAAAAAGAGCAACCAACAAAAATGGTGGCAGAGAAAGGGGAGGGGGTAATGGGAGTGTGAGGAGAGGGGAAAAATAAGGTTGGGGAATTCAATGAGCCACAGGCCCGAGGGAGGGGGAAATAGGTAGGTAACCAAAAAAAAAAGGGTGGGGAAACGGAAAGATCCAAGCACAAGTTCAAATCTCTAAAGGGGAAAAAAAGATGGAGATGAGTACATCAATTTGCTTCTGAAGGCTTAGGCAGGTTGAAGAGGAAGGGCTTTTCCCTGTGTAGCGGGTGGAGCAGGAAGCCCTAATCAGGCATGTATGGGCGGAGGTGATCCTCGATGTCTCCCACACCCCAGCAGGTCAGCTGGTCCTGGGGCAAGTACAGGCAGAGGCTGCACAACTTGAAAACTGTGGCCTTGGTTTTAGGCGCCTGTAGGAGATGTAGACAGAGAACATTGGTGGTGGGTGGTGTTTGAAAAGCCCAGGGTCTCCGTTCCTCAATAACACAACACAGTTGTGTGACTCACCTGTAAGTGCTGTCTATCCATAAAGAGAAATACAGACTGAGTTGGGTTGTTCATGACCATTCCAGCCTTGTCTTTACGACCCAACGCATGCAGGCACTGCTTCTCGTAATCTCCATGATGAAATTCAAACTTGGCCTGCAAATAAATGATGGATACAACAAATTCAATCCAAACTCAAGGTGGATTTATTACTTTGATTTACAGATTTTTTTTAATTAAATAAAAGTAAATTAAAATTAAATGTAAAAAAAAATCAGTCTAAGTCCTAGTGTAATCCTATGGAGCTTCTAGTCCTTTCAAATCAGTCACACATAGATAACTTAAACTGGTCTAAGAACAACTTTTTACAATTGTTACAAAACTGTTTCTAAAGATTGTGTTGTGTGATTATACACATGAAAAATACAAGAAAACATCTTTCAATATCAATAAAAACCCAATAATATATACAGCAATTTGGTGTAGTTAATAAAGCAAGTGATGATGTCAGCTCTCAGGTCTGAAGGTCACTTTATAAAGTTAATGGCTGACTGTGGAAGTGTTTCCAACTAACAACTAGTAAATATATATGGATTATTCTTTAGCAACCACAAGGAGCTCTTTTTAGTGCACAGTGGTCAACACGAGTTTTCTCACCTGAACAGGCCTAAAGGGTTCTTCTTCAGCCCCCTTCCATCTGGAGAACAGCAGACAGACAATCTTCTCAATATCATTACGTGGCCAAAGAATAAAATCCATCGCCTGCGTGCAGCCAATCACATCCTGTGAGACAGGAAGACAATGCATCAACATGAAAGTATTTTTAACTTCTACTCTGAAGTAGGTCCTTTTCAGGGCGCTCAGTCTCACCCTTCTCATCGACTGATATCGGGGGGCGTGCAGTTGCACAACGTCCTTTTGCAGGAGTTCGATCGAACTCTCAAGAGAGTAGCTGGAGTCCCGCACACCTCGTAGGATGTTTTCTTCATAGTTGTTGGTCATCACTGGCACCACTTCATCTACTTCAAAGAGTGCTGACTTTTTCTTCTGTAGTGATACATGCAAAGGCCAATTCCAATTTTAGTTCACATATATCAAATGTACTGATCCAACAATAAAATACTACAACCACTGTATGTTTCTGTCCTGACAAACCTTTTCCTTGAAAACGAAGGCTATATAAATCTTGAAGTCAAACTGATCAGCCAAAGATTCCCTTTTCTTCCGAAGTTGAGCTCGTAGGCGATTTCTGGTTTGATTCCTTCGTGAAGTTGGGTCTCCCATAGTTAGATTTTGATGGCAATGTTCTACTCTGAGTGCAGAATATTGTAGCTACACTACTTTTCAAACGTGGACAAAGGATGGAGTAAAGCTACCCTTAGCAGAAACAACCCAACAAACAACTCTAGGTTTGATCTGTGAAATACCCACTACCTACCAACTGAAAAGGTCAAGAAATCAGAAAGAAAACTAAGTCATTTTTAAGGGCAGTGATTAGGAGGGGAATGGCCAAGCCGCTTTAACTACATCTCCTAAATATTGATCAGAAATCTGTTTTAAGACGTGATTTTACGCCATAGAAACTTTTGTTCAGCCTGCCATCAACAAGTTTGTTTAAGCAAAAACAGCAACTTAAATTTGACTTAAACCCCTCGACTGAAAATGCATCAAAATCAATAGATAGCTGTTAGATTAAAAAGCCCATGTCGGAAGTACACACAGGTTTTTGATAGTGAATTTGAGTACAGACACGAGTGAACAGACTATTCGATAGTATGGGTCATTTCAGAGTCTCTCATTCATGGCTGTCGTTGTGTTTTTTTCTGCAGAGACTGGACTACGTGTTGGTTATATGCGGATCGGGGACAAAGACGAACATGGTAGGTAAATACAGATGCCAGCAGACGTTGGCAACGGGTAACATCGAAGACAACTGCGAAAGTGACTCGACATTTCCTCCACTTTTAGTGCCACTCGTGAGGCCCACGGCCTGCGCTGCTGTCACTGCTGCTGATCATGATGTGGGCGTATTTTTAGCACACTAGCTAGTCTAGCTAGCAGGCTAACCTTAGGCTTTCACACTTCCAACACTAACTAGTAGTGATCCAACGATTTAGCTACATTTTATCCTCTGAATGACTGGCTCGATTTAGGCCTACATGTGACCACGGACTAGCGTTCAGTCATCTTTCCATGTGTTTACATCCTACTGGTTTGGCCAATGTGGCTGCCAGTGCTCGAATCGTCAGCAGACCTGCAGCGTTTGCTGTTTTTAAGTGGTTTCGCGATCGCTCGGCATTTTAGCTACGTATCATTCGCTTACAAGTTCATCGACTAAATGCAGCCAAGAAATGAAACAGCAGCGAACTTTATCCACCACGCTGAATAACGTAACAAACGCCAGATAGACAAACTAAACCCTCCCTTCGCCCGAAGTTTAGTGGTTTTCGCTTGTTTTCTTTCTTGTCTTTTCTTTCGTCGTCACAGCCCTCGACTCGCCCCGCTGCTTCTGCATGCCATGTCAAGATAAATCGACAATCATGCTAAAGTCCTCCGTTCTTTCGGTCAACAAATGGCGTCGTCTGTCTCCCGGTGGACCCATATTTTAGAGCGTGACTGCCAAGCTTTGTCCCGTTCGTTATTTGTGTTTTTTTCGGTCAGCTAACTGAAGCACACACGAGCTCTTCGGCCCACAGCCTCCCCAAAATGGCTGCCTCAGTCAGCTAGCCTACTGTGACGTAAGATGACATGTGATTACAGAGGGGGCGGGGGTAACAAAATAAATATACAATGGATTTTTTTTCTTGGAAACTAAGCACGGTTGTGTATCTTCAGCTTGTAGCATTTATATGTTTGTAATGTATATGAAACAATGCTTCCAAAATAATGATAACAATAAAAACTATAGGTTATTTTTTTTTATCACCAATCTCCTGGAGGGGCGCGAATATCACGTGACCGTATGGGCGTATTTAAGCTCGTGGCGGGAGACCATCAGGAGAAGAGAGAGAAATAGCCGTTCAACGGAGTCTGGCTTTATTCGCCGTAAGTACATTAAACGGTTCTTTTTCTTCTAGTATATAAGTTGTTAATGTTAATGGGTGTTATTTCGAATATTGACTTCTGGCAGCTTAGCTAGCGTTTCCGTTAACGTGGATTGTTTTGAATGGTTGCTTGCGTTAGTCGTGTGACACGGCAAAAATGTAACTTACTAACGTGGTCGTTTTCTGTTTATATTCAACCTACCACACACGAGACGGATTTAAACAGTTGCTACACGTGTAACACTGCTTGTAGCACATACTTGCTGTTTTATATTTTATTGGTAATAATATTGAACGTTTACTCCAACATACTGACATCATCTGAATAATTATCGACCATTTTTAGGTGTCCTTGAAGAAAATGAGTGTTAATGGGAAACTGTCCAAGTCCAGCCATCAGAAGTCTAATGAAAACATAAAGGTAAGTTAAGATAAATGTTTTAAAAAAACAAAATCACAGTATCTCGCCAGTCACTATTGTGTGTACGAATGGTCTCTTATCAATGGTCTGTTTACACTTAATCAGCAGTCAGTCTAATCTAAATGATTTACTTAATTATTTTCTCAAAGCCAACAGAAGTCTAAAGATAAAAAGCTTACTGTATAAAAACCATGCAAATGAAGTCACATGATTTCACGCCGTTATTGTTTGATTTATTTACTATATTGGACTCCTTAAAATCATGTTGAACTCCTAATAATCAGCATCACCTGTGGTTTAGCCACCAAGTTGGGAAATGTGCTGCAAGTTGTCAGATTTAATCCATGGCTGATGCTCTTTTTCTAAAATCTAGCTAGTTTGTGGTTTCAATAGTTTTTAATATTGATTTGTATTATTTTGTCAGTTTGACATTGTATGATGTAAAGAAATAACTAATGACACATTTTTTTTCAGCCCCTTCTCTTCTTTTGTGTATTTGTACATGCGTAAAGCATTAAATGCACAAAATAATCTGAGCTGACTTCCTAAAACTGTATTAGACAATGCTTTTTCTTTTTGGTAAATATGGAATAATAAACAATCGGGACTGATAAAATATCACACATTGTCTAAAATTATTGATCTGAAAATGAGACCTAAAATGGTATCGGTCACAAGTGTTGTGAAGTGAACAAACATTAACTGCCTGTGTTTACTGAGGAGAAACTTTCCCACGGGATTGTTTTAATGTCCTGGTCTTGTTCCCACACCTGTACCCTGTCTCACATGGCAGCGGTGTTGTCATACCTCTCCTTAAAACCCATAGTGACAGTGTAACTAAGTAACAAAATAACGCTAAGCCTTGGTGAATGGAGGCTCTGAAGTGAGAACATGGGTGATGGTAGGTTCTCATGGGAATAGCCTTGTTGTTTTGTGTTTTTTTTTTTGTTTTGTTTTGTTTTGTTTTCCCTTAACTGTCATCTGCTGTGTGTTTGGAATTCTGCCATTAATTTGGTTGAATTTAATTACTGACCAACCATTTTTTTTCCTCTCAGAGTTTTTTTGGACCGTCTCAAAAAGCAATGGCAGTTCCTCGGCAGACTCTACAGGTCCTCCAGGCCTCAACTGTCAACACAGATTTGGGAAGATCCGTTCAGGTACGTAATGGATGGTCAGCTGATCTTATATCGGAGTGGGGGGAAATTAGAGCCTTTCATAACCATAAGCTCTTGTGTTGTAGTCAGGAAAAGTCATTCCAAAGCGGAAACAGTGGAGCGCAGAACAAATTCGAGGTCCAAAGAGAGTGAAGGTGGAAGTGAAAGCCACACAAACAGAAGAAACTCAGTCTGAGACAGATGGCATGTCCACTGAGGCCTATGAACTCATGGTCAAAGGTAGGCGTTATGATCAACAATTAAAATAAAAATGTATATGCTGTCTATAGTGTGAACCTGCCTGATTTGACAAACTGTAAACTTCTGCTGTTCCAGAAACACCACCTCCCACCTACTGGAAAGAGGTGGCTGAGGAGAGGAGGAAAGCCTTGTACAATGTTCTACAGGAGAATGAGAAGGTGAGTTAATCACTATGAGGAGGCTAATGTTTAGCTCCTGAGTGGAGCTGTTCCCACGCTCCCTTGGGGTCATCCCTAATTGGCCCAAATCCATCTGGAGCTGAAGTTTTGAAGTAATTCTGCACCTCAGACATGAGATCAGTGAAAGAAATCACACTACAGCCGTCAGTACTGTTGAATAATACTGTCACTGTACACCCTTACTTTCTTCACTGGTGATATGGGTGTTAAAGCTGTCTTTTGTTTTTGTTTTTTTTCTCTCCCCTTTGTACTGTATTTCAAAGAAGTTAGTAAATTGTGAAAGTACTTATTTATCACACGTCTGCGTCTTTGTTTATTAATGACTTTTTTTTTTTTCTTTCCTGTAACCAGTTGCACAGAGATATTGAGGCCAAAGATGAACAGATATCAAAGCTGAAGAGTGAGAATGAGGAGCTACAGGAGCTGGCACAACACGTACAGTACATGGCTGATATGATTGAGGTTGGTTCATACACACGGCTGCAGACACCGTCCATGATATCTGTGTGAACCCAGGACATTAAGTGAAATTTCAATGCTTAGTCCATAAAAAAACTGAATAAAAAATAAAGTGAGATGTTATATTTCTCCTAGACAACCACATCGTTTATTGCAATAAATCTGAAAAGGCTAATATTCCAAAGCTAAACCTGTTTTTACCTAATTTTATTTCCTGCAGAGGCTGACGGGAAAGTGCCCAGACAACCTAGAGGAAATGAAAGACATTGCTCTGGATGAGGAAGAGAGTGATGAAGAGGATGACGACGTCGGAGACCAGAGTGAGGAAGAATATTGTGACAGTCAGACGGAGGATGAAGAGGACGAAAACTCTGAGGATCAGGATTAATAACACCATGACATCATTGGACACTGACTTCAGGTCAACTGTTCTCTGGCAGCAACAGCTGACCATTAATTTAACATTTAGCCTTTTTTATTTTTTTTTTAAGGGTAATTTTGTTAAAATGCTGCTCTTAAATTGTATTGTATGAAGTGCTGGACTGTCAGGAGCTGTTTTACCATGGTTTTAAGGTTTTGGTCTCTTTTGAGTGTTAATCAGTACAGTATCATCTAAAAAAAAAAAAAAAGCAGAGGTATATGGGAGACATTTAGACATTGGAAGACTGCATTTTTTTTGTTTTTTTGTTTACACTGTAAAAAATGTCATGTTGCAACATGCCTATGTACATAAAGGTATCTGTACAATGAACACCTTTTTTTTTAAATAAAATGTTGACTTTAATTTTGTTGGCTTTTCTTACTGTTGACTTGAAGTTGGCAACCTTCAGGTTGATTTCAGTCTAATTTGAATGATTGGCAAATAGAGTAACTTTAGAAGCAAACATGGTTATTTACGGTGTTGTTTATAAATGTTTATACCTTTGTTACCAAACCATTAGAGGGCACTGTTTGACAAGTGAGCTAACTGACTGAATTCTGTGGGTACTCGGTACACAATAAAACCCACTGAAGAAATACAGGATAACTTGTGCAAAAATAAAATTTATTGCAGCTTGAGCAGAGGAAATGCTAACCACAAAGAGCAGTAGTACTGAAGCCACTGACCAGACATGACTAAGCTCAGTATAGGGAGAACTGCCCAGTAGTAATAATCAAAAATCAACAATTAATTCAGCTTGTACTCTGCAGTGTTTAGAAGTAAAAAGTAACACTGGTCAACTGCAAGTCTGAAAGAATAAAAAATATGCTGAGCAGGTGAGTCTGATACCAGATTAATATACTGTATAGGATGTTTAACACATGAACTTTATTTTGGAAAAGGCTGTTTAGAAAAAAGATTAGGCTTCAGTAGCAACTTCATACCTACAGGTATTAAAATATAGAATTTATAGAAATGATTTATTGAAGTTTGATTTATATGGCTTTGGACTTAGCGGTTATGGCCTAATGCTGGAGTGTGGGTTAACCTTGTGCTTTGTTTTTTTTTTTATCTTAGTTTTATTTTAAAAACATTGTCCCAGATGAATTACGAGCTATCTTCCTTTGGTTGCAGGTAATCTCATAAAAGTATATATAGTTACTGAAGCTTGGGGCCTTGTATAAGAAAAACAAAACACTGTAACACTATAAGACTATATGCAAATCTTAATCTTCTCCAAAATAATAGTATTTAACATTATCTCCAAAATAAACTCCCCTTTAAGTTAAGCATTAAATCAGTCGCATGGTCACAAGTGGAAATCTTCGAAACATAGCATCAAAAATCAAATATTTACAAAACAAAGTCACCGGCACTGGAACAATAAAGCATATTAGAATTACAAGGAGTAAATAATAAATAAGTGGTGATAAAAACTGCGAGTTTTATCATCTCACTGGACTCAGTAGTACAGTTAGAATGAGAGAAGTGGTTTAGTACCTTCCTCAGGTCACTGTGCTCACATTTACAGTCAGAAAGAAAATACCCAGACAGACGTACCAGACGCAGCACATGTGAGCTCAGCTAGATCCCATGCTGCCCCTACAGAATCCTCCTTCTCCTCCATTGTCAGATGGATGCTGCTAAAAACTGAATGTATCGCCCTCTGCTGGCTCCACACCTGGAAATATTCATTTACAAAAGAGAAATGTGGAACTTGCCTGCTTGACCTCCATGGTCAGAGCCCAACGTTCATGATAGATATGTACAGAAAAATTGCACTTATTCAACTGCAAGAATGAGAAACCAGAGCTGAGGTTAAAGTTTCTGAGCAGACGTTCCTTTCACTCTGGAGCCGTTCAGAAACAGCAAAGTGCTTTTCCACCACATTTGCCTCACTCCTCTCTGAAGCCACTCTGTGATTGGACCGTGATTCTACAAAACACATTTCATCCATAATCCCTGAACATAAAATAGAACGTACCAAGTAAAATAATAATAATAAAAAAACCCACACACACATTTTGAAAGCCAACCATGCACCTAACAGTGTGTGTGTCTAGCAGGCCTTATTTACATACATTAAAACAGTGCCAGGTTTTCCGGAATCACCCTTGAAACATTTCACCAACTTTAACATGTGACAACAAAAAAAGGCATTGTTAAAGTATTACACAGTTGAATCTGTAACAGCTAAAACGTTCATCCAATAGTGGAAGGGCGAGAGAGGTGATGTGAGCAGTGGTGTGTGGTCTGTCTTCCATTTCCCAGTACAGTGCACTTTCAGTGGTTTTGTGTCCTGTGACAGTAAAACGTGAGAGTTACCAGTGTGAGTGGCTCAGGAGGCAGGGTGACTGTGGGAGGGGAGAGCGGGTGAGTAGAAGTCCTCAGGTCTGTTCCGATAAGATCAGAGTAAAGTGACCATCAGCCTGGTGAGGTTTACGGTGCGACACCATTGTCCTCAGAGGTCAGCCTCAGACGTGTGTCTGTTATCTCTGATTTCAGAGCAGATTGTTCAGAAGGCCGTGGTCACAGCGTTTCCTCTGCGTGTGCCCAGACGCATCATCTCCCTGGAGACTGTGTGCAGCTGCTCGTAGGCCAGTCGTCCCTCATCACCTTTAACATGTACGAGAATGTGTCAACGAATATATCTTACGCTTTGCAAGTATGAATAATTATAGAAAATATTTATATTAATATTGATATATTATTTTTATTTACAATAAATAAATGAAATGTTCTTCAGTTATATTAATTTAAAAGAGTTTTCTGACCAGTACTTGTACAAAGTTCTGTTTAGATATTTAATTCAAATGGCAGCCATGTTATTGTGCATCAAATAATCTTTCTTTTAACCTCTACAGATTCAGGGGCTAACCTTTAGCTAAATTCATCATTCATAAATTGTAAGTTAGCCTTGGTTTATCATCTTATTTTTTAAATAGCACTGATGATCAAGATTGATGTGAGTGATGGTGAAATTTACACAACAAAATTGTGTAACTCACCAAATGTGAGCAGGGTTTCTATGGCGACATGGCGGAGCTCCTCATCAGCTGAGTCACAGAGCGCCACCACAGCTTTGATGCTCTCCACAGCCTGCAGACAGAAGTAAAAGATCTGAGTGGCTGTTTGGACGACAGTCGACCAGTGATACCCAAACACTGTGTGTCACTGGGATCACTGGGTGTGCAGTACTGGGCAAAGTATACAATTACACTTCAATGGTCTGAAAGCGACTATTTATTCACTGCAGATAAAAAAACGAGTCAGTGAAATGCAGAACAATTAAATAATATTCCACTAGATGGCAGTAGATGCAGTTAAACTAAAAGAGTGACTCAGGTCTTTGTGTGTACGTTCCACCAAATATCAGCATCAACTAAACTGTTCACATCAACTAATACATCACTGTATGTCATTAGACGAGGAAAGGATGACGTCATATCTCATACTGTACATTTAATGAGACGCAAACAGTAAAAGTGAATCCACTGACCTGGAGACAGCTGAGAGCCGAACAAGCTGCTCTCTGACTCTGACCTCCAGCCTCTGATAAGGCCTGAGTGTAGAACTCTACAGCCTGGAACACACACACACACACACACACAATCACACATTACACACAACTGTCAGTGACAGTGTTTGAGTGAACTCTGAATCACAGACACTAACAGATTTCAGGTGTAGTGTGTGTATCTACAGCAGTACAGTCTACATGTCACAGTACTCACTCTTGTCCTGAAGTGACTGTGTGACGCTCCTGAACAGAGGTATTCTGCTGCAGCCTTGTTGACCTGAGGATGGTCGGCCGTGAGCAGGGAGGCCAGAGCTCTGAGCGTGCTGTTTTTAGGCCACAGTGATGACACAGGCACCGCCTCCATCTCCACCAGACACTGAGAATAATCTCCAATGATCAGAGTCTCCGTGAACACCTCTGAGGGAGAATCAACACAAGATCAGTAATTAAAAACTAAACCACTGGTCATAGAGGAGCAACAAAAGAAATAAAAAAGACTTTAGCTGACCCTCTCTGGCCAGGTCCAGCAGATGGCTCCCCATGTTCTGGACCGCATGTTGCAGGATGTAGCTATGGAACTGAAACACGGTCAGGACGTCCTGTGTGTAGGCAGGAGGAGTGTGTGATGTCACCAGGTCGCTCCTGTCCACCATCTCACCCACTACAATACTAATCACTGCAGGAGCAAAAACAAACCCCAAAACAACAAGTTTGATCAATAATAACTCCAGAGTAGAACAACAACAACAACACAATGAGAACTGGGCCACAGTTCGTGACTAACAAACAGGAGGAGTGAATGAACCTGAGTCAGTGCTGTGGGGGTGTCTCTCCTGCAGCACCCCCGTGTAACACTGCTTCATGTGTTTGATCACTCGGTCCAGTGTGGTGTGGAAAAGTCCTGCAGACCCGTTGCACTCTGACCACAGAGTCATCAACTCTGGACGCTCGGCAAGTCCTGGTAGGACTGAGGAGGAGGAGGAGGAGGAGGAGGAGGAGGAATTAGAACAGCAGAGTTATAATCAGTCTAAACCAGGTTTCTGGTACCTACCATCAGCTGCAGATGTAATGGCTCCCAGTCTGTCCACACTGATTTCTGCCAAGTCCTCTAACAGCTGAGTCTGTCTGGTCAGTTTGAGGAGCAGACTGCTGCGCTGCCACACACTGGGACCACTGGTCAGCAGCTGCACAGGAGAGTAAAAAAACAGTAGGTTTGTTAAAAAAAAAGAAAGAAAAAAAGAAGAAATGAGGTTTTAAATAAATGTCAGAGGTTCTTCTCACCTGTATGAGGTGATTGCAGTACTGCAGGTGGATGACGATGGCCACGTCCAGGTTCTCATTACCCGTTGTAAGAGGGAGGGGACTTCCTGCCACACTGTTGCCCACCCCGGTGTCTTCTGTCAAGGCTTCACTCAGGTGTCCCCTGGCTTCTGGATGCTGAACCCTGAGGTGAAGACGTCAACAATCAAAACACACTGTAAACTACTCTTATTAACTAGAGGGGGTTTGATCACAAATGTCCTTCATTTGTCTTATTTAGTCTTAGGACTCGTGCTGCTCTGAGGTCATAGCTTTGATTATACATGTCTTTGTTGATGAGCTCTTAGCTTCAGTTGTGTGCTGACACTGATGAAAACTTACCCGATCCTTTCCCCATCTGCATCAAATATGGGCGACCTCTGTGGAGGGAGGCTGAGGACGCCATTGTCGTCTCCAGTGTCCTCATCGTCAAAATCAGATGTGTTAAGGAAGTCAAAGCTCTCCAGAGCGCTCTCTACTGTCAGACTAAGGCTGGACGATCTGCTTCTGTGGCCTGGGAGTCGGCACTGTCGGAGGATGATGAGGATGATGATGATGAGGGTGATGAGGGTGATGATGATGAGGGTGAGTTGTTTAATAATTCTTTTACTTAGGTAGGTCATTTTGAAAGAACTTTCATCTCAGTAAAACTTGAACAGAGAAGTTCAGAGGTTTCGTCAGCTACAACTCTCTTACCTTCAACAAGTCCTCCAGACGCATCACTTCCTGCTCCAGGTCCTGCAGCTCTCGGCAGCGATGGGTCAGTGACTCCAGCCTCATCAGCAGGCTGTGGATGGCCTCCTCCAGGCTGCTCTCCAGGAAAGCTCTGCTCCCCTCTCCCGCCCAGCTCAGACTACCTCCACTCTCAGTGGAGCTAGCGCTAGGGGGCACAATTTCAGAAGAAGTCAGCCTCCTCACCAGCTGCCTGGTGAGGCTGCCTGCCTCATCTGTGTCCAATTCCACAGGTTTCAGGTCATCAGCGTGGTCCAGGAAAACATCTTCTGGAGCCACGGTGGACAGGTGGCTGTCAGAGCACAAAGACGGAGCAGCCGAACCACAGATGGAGCCGGAATTTCTCTGAGACTCTGTCCGCTCCCATTCAGAGTCTGTCGCCTCTACTTCATCACTGGCCAGGCTGCCACTGGTGATTCTGCTTCCTCGACTGCACGTGTCTCCATCCTCCTGATATTCCTCCTCCTCCTCCTCTTCCTCCTCTAAATGCTCCTCTGCGATGGAGTCCTCTCTGGTTGGAAGGCTTTGTGCAGACGATTGTTCTGTCTCTGGAGGAGTGACAGTGATCTCGGGGTTGGAATGACCACGGGAGTGGGAGCTTGGGGCCGGACTGGCCGTGGAGCAGGAGGTGTCAGAGAAGGTGAAGGAGAGACGCTTACATTCAGCCACGCCACAGCCACCATTTTCAAAGACATCATCTGGTAAGGTGGACTGAAAGAAGAAATGGACAGACAGAGGGGTTAGAATGCTGATGATAAACTGATTTCAAAAATAGAACTCCTGTTTATTTTTAAATATTTCCCGAGAGCTTCAGTACAGAACAGGTAGATCTTAACACGGTGTTTCTGAAATTTACAGTCCTTTGAAGTAAACCTATAATTCCTATCCCTGTATAATCTGCTGGGAAACGGATCAAAGAAGGCTAAGTCAGGTAGAGAGATTCACACTATTCAATTTCCCTGTGCTATGTCAATCTGTACAAAACGGGCAAAACCACAGCAAAAGCAGTGAAAGCAGTGAAACAGAAACCATGAGCACGGAGCAGCTTCATGCAAATACAACATGCTAACAGCCAGGCATGATATTCTACAGAAAATAGACAGGACAAGTCCCAGAATGTCAACAAGTCAAACCAGTAGAGGAGCACATCCCACACACGTCAGTGACTCAGGGGGGTGGGCACACAGGTTCAGAGCGGGCACAGGGGTCACAACACACTCACATAAACCTCCAGACTGGATTTGGGCCTTGGCCGAAGCGAGGCCAAGTCACCAAAAGAGCGACTGCGCCTTAGCTTCTCTAGCAGGGTGTCTCGGAGCATGTGCAGGAAGGAGAGGCGCTGGCGCTCCACGGGATATGGTCGCCACTTCTTTACACAACGTAAGCAGGCAAATGGGACGAGGTGTTGGGTGTGTGAGTGAGGGCAGGTGAGTGGGGTTACAGGAGGGGTGGATTCATGTGTTAGGGGGTAAAGTGTGGAAGAGAGTGTGTGTGGGGGGGGAAAAGGGGGTTTGATGTGGAAATGCACAAATGAAGTGGAGGAGGGATAGCAGGGTTAGTCAGGAGCAGAGCTTGTGTATATTTAACATATATTTGGAAATGAAACACATAAAACAGAACCAAAATAAAACCATTACACGATTTGTCTAAACATGAGCTATTGTCAGGGTAGAGTATGCAGAATGTTTGAACCACAGGTAAAAAAGGAAATCATACTAATTTAATCCCATTGGAGGGAAAGATGATTTCCATGCAGACTTACAAAAAAGGAGGTGTCTTGGAAGGTGGGGGTCTCTGGTGTTCCCTGACTGTAGATGGACACGCGTCTCTGAAGAACCGTGGCTTTGCTGACGTTTCCAGACGACAGGGTCAGGTCTTCAACATCGAAGGGGCTGAGTGGGGGGAGGGCAAGAACAAGGAACAGGGCACTTAATGGGATTGCACTGTGATTTATCAAAGCCCAAGTGATGTCTTTGTTCTGGTGTCTGAGGGCAGGATGTAATTATGGGTATACAAGCTCACTGCAGCAGCTGTTATTATGTTGCTTTATACCTTAATACCAGTGTATTTTATATGGCTTCATTGCATATATTCATAAATATTAATTCAATGTACCTCTGTAATTCCAATAGACTGTATCTTAAATGTCTTACATTCTCTATTTATTCAATTTAGACCCTCATTTCACTGCTGTATTACACGTACAGATGCATGTGACGTCTGTTGATTTATACAATACCATGCTTCTCCACCAGAGAGCAGAAAGGTACAAGCTACAAACCAACTGAATTCATTGAAAGTACTGAGTGACAGTGTAGAAGTAAACACATTTGGCTAATGTATAACAGACATGTAATTTTAAAGGTAAACGCAGAATAGTTTAAGAATCATAAACGTAATTGATCGATGAAGTGCATTAGAACTGTGCCTTAGAAACAAGACTCACTCAAGTCATTGTGTAAAAAAGAACAAGGTTCAAGTCCACTTACTACCAGGTGACCTCCAGGTTCAGTTTAATGGTCCCCAGGTCATTGACGTCCACAGCCACCACCTGAGGCATGGCAGTGAACAGCTCCTTGGTCTCACAGATCACGCTGCCCACCAACATGTGGGTGGCCAGACCCTTCAGCTCCGTCACCTGACAAACCACAAAGCAACTCTCTTAACATCAAGTGCTTGGAAAACCGACTCTCAGCTGCTTGAGCACGAGTCAGGTGACGATTTAGGTTTATTTTTTCTCATATAAACTTCAGTAAAATCTTCACTTGTCAGTTAAAAATCAAATTGTAAGTGAAATGAGATTCAGCTGGTTTTCCTCAGTACCTTGATGTTGATAAGGTCTGTGATGAGAGGCATGAAGACCATCTCGTCTCCATCCCAGCTCTGTCTGGAGTTCACTTCAATCCTGCCCTTCAGCTTCCATCTCTGACGGCCGTACCGCATGAAAATCTGAGAAAAAAAAAAAAAAAAGGCAAATGTTCAGCTCAAACAGAAAAATACCCACAAGTACAAACCTAGTCTATAGCTGAATGAGTATCCATTGACTTTACAATGAAAAAAATAATTTTCACACTTGGATGTGAACTTGTTAACATCTTCATCTTATATGGAAAAACATTTACCTCATACTAATAATATTTTCACACCTGGATGTGAACTTGTTAACATCTTCATGTTATATGGAAAAACATTTACCTCATACTGGTCTCCAGGACACAGCCGAGCAAATCCAGCCAACCCTGTTAGACAACAGAGAAACAATTAAAGTTTTTTCAAACATTTGTAAACAACAAAGTATATATATAGAATATATAATATATGTATATGTTTTACCTTTCATTTTGATGTGAAACTCTCCGAGCAGATTTTCTAGTTCACTCTCAAATGTGCTCATGTTCTGAAAGACAAGGAAAGATAAAACGATCACACAAACAGCCCTCTGTCTCAGCACAACAACAACAACAGTAATCAAAGTTTTATCCACGGATTCTGACAAACGTAAACAACAGTTAACACTTGGGACATGTGCACCAATCTCTCAGTAAAGCTGAGGACGTGTGTGTGTCCTAATACTGGGACTCACTGTAGTCATGGTAACCACTGACCTGTGTCACAGTCTGTCTTTAGGTCAACTGTAGGTTTCACCAGTGCTACAGTGTTAACGCTGTATAGTATAACTTGTGTAAATCTATTTTATTATCTAACAGATTATTTCTATAACACAGTAAGTCATTGCAAAAAGGCGACACCAGCTGGCCAGATTGTAGAATACACCCCAAAGCAAATTTAATCAATGTTTACAGCCTCTTAATCAAGTGACCATTATAATATAAAAAAGGATGTTTTGAAATTTTGACAAAATTATTACATTGATAAAAAAATAAATAATAACTACAAATTTAGATGACAATAAGAAGAATACAAGTGACAAGGACAACATGGTTTTGAATAATGGTTTTGATTAATGATTTATATTTCCCTTAGCCTTTCCTTCCTCCCTCTGTAGATACTGCTGTATATAGTATTTCAGAAACAAGCTGGTACCTCTGTGTACTCCTTGTAGCGGCGGTTGACCTCAGCGATGCTCTCCTTGGTGCCTTTAGTGGAGGGAGAGGAGGAGAAGGCCTGCTTCATTCGACTGGCACCGTCCCTCAGACGGCTCTGGATGCAGAAAGCCTCATACAGCTCGTCCACCTGGATGATAACACAGGAAGAGGGGGGGTGTTGGGTGGGGGTACCATGTATTTAAACAGCTGCACTATTTTCTCTTCAGTTTTCAATGAAGAAGTTAAGAGGATTTAACTGCTTAGAAAGTTTAAGAGATTCATTGAAAATTATTCAGTTCCTTCAAGTGTCAGTTCAAATAATATAAACGGCAAAGAGACAGAAGACACCACAGTGACATGCAGCCACAGACAACCACAGACATTATGTGCTAAATGACGCTGAGATGGAAAGTGCAGAAGTGAAAGGTCCCAGCTGGTGTGTATCAGTGTCAGTGCAGCCTTCAGTGGCAGGAACATGTGTCGTTCCAGTCTGCCACCTCAGTGGGACACTCCCAGAGAGCGTGGGGGGGCCGACAACAACAACAACAACAACAGCCAGGGTTTAGAGCTCATTCTGAAGATGTCTGCTCCACTTCAGTCTGCAGCAGCCGTCTGATCTAATCCAAACCCACAGGGAGAAGAGATGACTCAATATTCTGCTCCCTGACTGTGAGTCTCCGCTCAGAGGAGCATTAGGACACGACACGGTTTTCACAGCAGTGCTGTTTCTGTTCATAAAGACTGATTGGATTCCACAGCACTTAAAACGTTTTTACAAAACATTTCAAAGACATAGTCTGTTTCTACAGCTGCACCAGCCCCGGAGATTTGAAAGACAGTGAGTTGGACTACTGGGCTGTTTTCTTCAAAAACAGTTTCAGATCAATATCACAAATAAATGAATTTCATTTAAAGTTTCTGGCGGTATGTTCAATATTATTAAAAATTCTGTTGATTTCTCAGCATTTTATCTCACCACTTCCCCCTTGAGAACATTTAGCTCAGAGCCAGAATTACTTTTCCTGCAATTCATCTTTTGTAGATTGTTGATATAAATCTGTTGTTTGTGAGAACTACTGTGTGTCTATAACCCCAGACCAATTGAGAATGAGTCCTGTCCAAAAATAGGATGAAATTATTATCTAACCCTCCCAGACAGATGCAAACACCATCTGAAGATCATATGCCCTGCTGAGTCTCTCAGACTCATTTCCTCCAAGAAATTGCAGTCCAGAGGTTCGGGACTTCCTGACTCCACGTACGGTGAAAGTGACGGCCCAGTTAACCTGCTCACATCTGCTGAGAACCATCTAAGGGAAATATTTCTCTGTGTCTTGACAAGAGCTGTGAAATATTAATGCTGTAAGCTCTTTGTGGAGCTCATTAGGGAAGAGTGGAGAAAATGTCCTGCTAATTGCTTCTCTGAGAGTTTGTTTGTTCCTGAAACAGTGTCAGCAGGTTTGAGAACGTAAGCTGGGATTTTTTTTTTACCTGGCCAAGAAAAGAAGATATCATATTTTTCTTCACTGTGGTCGCAGTCAGCATTTCATGTAACAAGGAGTATGAAATAGGCAACAACAAGTAAACAGATTCCTTCTCAGTAGAAAGAAATATCGGACTCAGACATGTGCAGCCATCTGCCTCATTGGAGACAGAAAAAAGAAGAAAAGAGGTGGATCCAGGAAAAAGCCCCCTGAAGCCCCTCCACCCTGACAGGGGACACAGCCCTGTCTGTCTGTGGTATGTGGTGTATGTGGCCAGGCTGCAGCAGCTGAGCTGAGGCCAACTCTAAAACACACTCGAACCTCAACTACTCTTCTCAAACCTCTGACCAGTGTACAGCTGGCTACTGAGATAACGCCACAGAATAAAGAACCTACACAGAAAAGACAAAGTAATGTGGCAGATAAGCAGCGGTGCAAGAGAACCTGAAATGTACCCTGGGAAATACACCAGAGGTCCAGTATTTAACGGTTTGAGCTGCTGATCTGGAGAAAACCTCGGTAATAAACGAGGCTGATGAATGGAGATTATTCCTCTCAGACGATTGGTAATCACATCATTATCAGATGATTAGGCCCATTTTGTCCCCTATTACAATGGCCTCTTGCTGCCTTCAAGGAAATGTCCTTTTGAAGGTCAGCCAAGCTCCACTACAGAGGACGGCCATCAGCATATTCCATCGCCTCAGGCGGTTTTGGGTTTTTTGGGGGAAAAAAAAGGGAACAAAGACAAACACTGAACAAAGAAACCTAATCATACTATAACACAATATATACACATACTCTTGCCATCAAAGCACAAAAAAAAAATTTGGAATGATGATATATTGTCTTCTCAACCAGCTTCTCTATTTACATTTAGCAGATGTTAAGCCACTGAATGCAAATGTTTTCTGACTGTGTTTCTGTATGAATTATTAATTGGTACTTGGTCGTGGAACTGGTAAGATCCAGGGATCTAACGAGCTATTATGGGAGAATCTTATTTGGGAAATTAATTATGCGTGTGGTGGGAATTAAATGTGTGCACATTCATCAAGGGTGACACTCCATCCCTGGGTACTACAGCGGTGAACATCCACTAAAGTATGTACTGTATATTTACTGTATGTACAACAATACTGCAACACATACTGAAAATATAACTCCTGACTGAACTCTTCATTAAACTTAGATATTATATATATATATAGATATATTGAAGTCATGGTTTTAATGTTATGTCCCAATGAAGCAAACACACACACATTCTGATGAGGGGTGGGTTGAGCAGATTAAAACTGGCAAACGACATCAAACAGCTTCAAACACAAAAGCACCTCATTTAGGGATTTTGTGTGTCTGAGTGTGTGTGTGTGTATGGTAATGGTGGTGAGATTAGCATCCTAAGCGAGGGACAAAACTAAACATTGCCTCTTAATAAAATATAATCATATGTATTCCGTCTCCTCCCTCTGCTGTCACACCAACACCCCCACCCACCCACAGAAAATGACTTTCCATCTACTGTCACTTGTCTCTATAATGATACACAACTGATTCTAAACACACACACACCATATCAAATACACACACTGCAGACATCATCCCACCCAGGACCTCGTATGGTTGGGGTACTCCGTGTGCCAACTGTGTCTCGGGCATCAGCTGGTAGCCAAGGACACAAGCACAGACAAAGGAGCAGGCAGATGTGAGCCCCATAAACACAGACACACAAACACACGCTGCACTAAGAACCTGCTGACGGACGGTTGTTAAGTCATTTCTCACAGCAGCTGTCCAACACAAAGAGACAGGCCCGAGCCTGAGCACAACAAACACGTGGACACTTACAGTAAGTCCCAGCTGCCCGTCTGTGCTCTCACAGCTGCAGACTGATTACCTGTGAGGACTTTAATTACTGCTGTACCTGTGACGACAGACCCTCACTCAAATACTGCATTTGTCACCATCGACCTCACCAGAAGTACTGCACGTCAGGTACTCCCCGCATTAGAGTTTATTGTTGCTCATTTCCTGACGGTGGACACAGAGACAGTAATGTTTTGTCCCTTTCTGTCTCTGAAGTATTCATCACTCTGTCAGCAAAAATACGAAGGCGATGACGGCTCCGTCCTCACTCTTCAAAGCTGAATCACGGCACAAAACTGTCCCCCACTCTGCTGGACCACGCTGTGTATTATACAGTGTCTACAGTAAGTAAAAGTGACTGGTCAAATAACTGGAGCAGTTTCCATTCAGGCTGCGTTGAAAACAATGACTACAGTTACATATGAATAAGAAAACTTTACAAAGTGTTACTGCATTATTAACCTCGACCAACGGGTAATTATCAAAGTACTGTAAACACTGCAGTTATCACTGTGTGTGTGTGTGTGTGTGTCCTGACGACAGTGTTTTTCTACACAGGTTCTGGACACACTATAATTAATCTACTTGGACAACAATCAGCTGATGTATAAAAATAGCCCAGTGTGTGGGTGTGTATTTGTGTTCCACAGGTTCTCTGGACCATCGGCCATTGGTCCTGTTTCTTTAAGGCCCACTGTAGCCAAAGATCTGGTCCCTTTATTTTCACTGTCTGGATGTTTCTAGTTTCATCTTTGTTTTCCCGAAACTGGGAAGTAGAACTAGCTGCTGGTTACATAAACCTAGCAGCGTTCAAATCCACAAACGCGTCGTACAGGGCACTGTGTCACATTATAAAACTACCATAGATTGTTCATTTTTATATAATTTGCCAATTGCTCTTCTTGCTCATCTTGAAAACATGTTGCCTTCAACCATTCAGAAACACTTACACCACAAAAGAGCTCCAAGACTGTCCCTGTGCCGTCTGTCCAGGACTGAAGGTACCTTTTGATTGAGCGCCAGGATGTACAGTGTGTGGGAATATAACGAGTTTACAACGTCACCCCATAGATGTCTTCCCTGAGGAGTTCAGAGGCTCAGTGTTGGGGTAACCATGGAGACTGTTGAGTGGCGCTGTTGTTTTGGTGTGGGTGTTCTGATTGCCTGCTGTCGAGCCTCAGTTGACGCACAGCGAGGGAGGCCATTACCAGACCACAAAAGAGGAAGTGGAAGAAAAGTCACAGTTTCAAAAGGGGATTAAAGTCCCCAACTGGCAACCTAGAAAAACCTGTACAAAGGTTTCCATACCTGGGGGTTGTAGTCAGAACAAAAAGTTTTTGACTCAGGAGCCTGAGTTGAACTTTGCAGCAGAAGAAAATCTTTGCTGAAGCCATATTTGAAAAGTCAATTAACTGGAGTTAATAATGAGGCAGAGAGTGAACGTCAGGTATGCAATAAAACACCACAGCTTTATCAGAATGACGGAACAGAGGGATTTTGGTTAGAACTAATCCCTTTAGACATTTTAATGGGCCACTAGAAGTGTATAGTGGTGTTTTCATTTGCAGTGCTGCTGCTCTTTGTCTGTAACGGCTCTTTATTTTCTCTCATTAATGTTTGTCCTAAGACACAGGATGTTGTTTCTTTTTGTACAGAATGTGCTTTGTGAATATAGAATGCACCAATGAAATGGACTCCATCTACTCTGTATGTGCACTCAGCAGCTGTGCAGTCTTATGTAGAAACAGCTGAGGCCCATAGGTGACGCAAAGTCTTTTTGTTACCTGGGGACAAAGACAGATGAGCTGAATCATCTGGACTTTGGGCTCAGCTGAGTTTAGCAGCTGCAGACTGTACTGTAGCCTCAGATTTCTTTAATCCATTCGGGGTGGGGGGTTGGCATAAAGTCACAATCTAATCCTCACATTACTAATATGTGCAAAAAAAAAAAACAGTGACTTGAATGAGGTGACACTATGAATATTGCATGAGTACGGTTTCTTCCCAGGGGAGTTTGACAGACAGAGGCGGAGCGGCGTTAGGAAAAGAGTTGATGAGGTGAAACTTATTTAATGGCCCACAGAAAGAAGCAGGACATAAATCTGACTGCAGAACAGGAACAATATCTTAGAGAGTGAAGGACAAAATCACATTTACCTTGCTCATATGAAACTCCAGACGCCTCATGTACCTCTCGATGGTTTTAATTTGCTGTGGGAAAAAAAAAGAAGAAAACCTGTACATGAGGGAATGTGTCAACGCCTGACAAACAACTGCAGAAAGAAAGACTTTAATGTCCAAACAAAGACATATAATAAGGACAGGTTTGCAGCACAATCTCATCTCCATCAACTTCTGACGACTTCTCCCTCTCTGATCAGGTTGTCTTCTACTTCTTTTTGTAAACTTTTTTTCTTCTCCATTTTCAACTGTTTATACATCAACGATTTATCTGAAACTAAAGATACATTTCTGTCAACTCACCTTGTCAAGATCGTACAGCACCCCCTGAAGAAAGACAGACATAATTATACAGTTAGTACAGTAACGCAGTACAGGCTTCAAAGACAACTACTGCCATCTAACATCACGGAAGGGGGAAAATGGCTCAAAGCTGAGCAGTAAAGCTTGTCAATATAGTATATGATAAAGAAAAAGTTTTTAACTTTTTCTCACAACAAAGTTGAACACACTACGTTTGTGTTTTAAGAAACATGGTTGAATTTGGTATTGTAACAATATTTTGAGCATTTTAGAGATGGAAACCAGTCAAAGAAGCTGAATTAGAAAACTAGGAACAATCGTTAGATTGTTTCTTCAATTTGTTTCACCTAATTTCTTATATGTTTGTTCTTGTTGGCAGGCAAAAAAGGCAGGACAAACATATAAGTATGTGACAAAACACTAACTGTAGTGTCTGATTTACCCCCAACTGGAAATTTTCCCATGGGCCTCTTGTGCGATCTGCTGATGCATATCTAACATACAACTGCTGACTAGGCGTTAGTGTTGGAAACACTAATATCCTTGATTTGACTTTAGAGCTGGAAACAGTCTTTCAGGACTTTTTGAAATGACTGTAAAACAATTTATTTAAAAATCTTAAAGTTTTAATTTCAGTATCACATCATACAGTCTCTGATTCTGCAGGGCCCCGTTGGGGGGAGGGGTATGCAGTTTAGAAACAGATCAGCCAATGACAGTGACGTAGGTTCTCACCAAGCGAGAGTTCCTCTTCATGTCCTTCATCAGGACCATGAGTTTGTCCAGTTCTGTTTGATGTGCATCCAGGTATTCTCTGGAGGGAGAAAGAAAAACAAGCAAGGTTCAAAATAAATGCACTGTATCACTGCATTGTATTATTAATGTATAACTATATACAACTATATATATATATAATAACTTCTAACAGTGTTGCTAGAAAACCAGCCTGTACATTTGTAGATGAAGTCCAGCCGTGTTAATAAACAGGGTTTAGTGATATACTAAACCCTGTTTATTAACACGGCTGGACTTCATCTATTCTCTCCGTCATAACATGAACTGTTCTGTTTATGTCTGCTGTGTGTCCACAGTGGAGTCACTCACTCCAGTCCTTGCTTGAGGGCAGTATAAACCTCCTCCAGTCTCTTGGGCTGAGGTTCTCTGGAGCTGCTGCCTCCCTTGTGTCCAGACAGGTGAGACTTCTTGGACTTGGACTGAGGCTTCTTCTGCACTACACCGTTCCCGATGAAGGAGTTACATCTGTGTGGACACACGGTGCAAACAGGATAATGTGAGGATTGTTTATACTTCAGGATTTACTCTGGACTAAGTATAAATCACTGTGTTTTCACAGCGTCACATGGGTCTGAACCAACAGGTGTGCCGCCCCCTATTTTGGAACCACTAACTCAGTGAACAGTTCTGACTGTACAAACACCTTGACCTCTGTTCACAAATCACACACACCTGCTAACACATGCAAACATGTGCCACCTCCGTAATGACGCTCTCCGTCCACGACCTGTGCAGCCCGTGTCACACTGCCCTCCACTAAACATAGAAAAAACACTGCTGAGATAATTGTTGTTTGGCTGTTTTCTGCAACAGTGTGATCGACACAGCCTGCAGTCTCAGTTCAGACTTCAATTAGTCAAATGGACCATTCAACTGTCTGATCTTTTTCTGTCTTTCCAGGAGAAGTTCAGATTCAGTAGTTAAAACCACCAATTCAGCTTTAGGATTTATTATATAATCTAATAACTGATCTCCAGACTTCCTAACATTTAATTAAACATCACTACAGTCGTTCTAGGAACGTGGTTGCTACCGACTGAGGCTGTACAAGTTGCAGCGCGTCACGTCTTGCTGCATGCCAACAGCGCTAGTAAGACTGAGCTGCCACAAATGTAGGGCAACTTTGAATGAGAGCGCTGCGTAGCCTGGGGGTCAGACGAGCAGTAGAGCAGGAGGGTCTTTGGGCAGTGAGACACACTGTATGGATCCACTGTAACACAACTCCATACACTGACTGAAACTGAGAATTGTGGATCTGCATCCATGCACACACACACACTGTCAAATCCAGCCCAGATGTGTGAATGCATGAATAAATCATGCACACGGACACACACTCTCAGCCATGAGTGGCAGAGTAAAGGGACACACTGGAAGTCGTTTCCCTGTTGCCATCAACCTTTTTTTTTTTTTCTCAGTATAATGAAAACTTGTCAGTCGCCCCCACACCACAGTCATTCCATCCAATTAGACTGTTCAGTGTCTGGGCAGATAGTGAGGAGAGAAATAGTGTCTCACAGCAGGACCAGAGCAGATGAAGAGTCTGGAAGTCTGGGATCTACCAGATAGTACTGTGAAGTGAATGTGAGAGGGCTTTGTTTGGTGACGATGGAGTCAGACCTGTCACTGATGACTCAAAGATGCCAGAACACAGATACAGTATCTTTATCTGACAGGAACTCATTTGACCCCAGACTGTGTGACGGCCCCTCTGAATAAAAATGAGGACCAGGAAACTGAGCTTTTTAATTTTTTCACGTTCCTCCACACCTTTAGGTCCACAACCAGCTTCCTTTAAACACTGAAAAGTACATTATTTCCACTTCATGGCTAAAGATGAATCTGAAATATCACATCCTTTTGAGAAAACACTGAATGATATTAGTGAAAATGACTACATAATAAAATACATTTTAATCATTTTGTTGCTTTTTGCTCACTTTGGCTTTTTCTGTTCTGGTACTTGTTTCACTAAGGCTTACCGTGAGCGTCGTTCTTGCAGTGTGCTGAAGCCAGCAAAGGACTGACTGCGGATTATTCCATTAGGGCCACCGGGGGAATGAGTGCCGGCCGCCATGATCTCTGGGATGTGGGGCGACACTCCTGGAGAGAGGAAAAAAAACCCACAAAACATAGTTACATTTAAATCGTCAGACTTTGTCTGTACAAGTCCAGAACTCAAGGTCTGTGACACTGGTAGTGATGCTCAGTACGAGCGATGTGGATGAGCAGCATTCAGAGCCTGTGCTGACATGTCACCACTCAAACATATAGACATTTCAGTTACGGTACGTTTTTGTCAAGTGTCACATCACATATGACAACGGCCGAGTCCAAGAAATGCAGCGGTGGTTACTGTTCTCCTACACTGACAGCAACACTCCACTGATACGATCATAAAAATTATGAAAGTTAAAACATCCAGAAACGTCATCAGCTTTTGTCAATAGTTAAAAGCATCTTTTTTAAATCAGGTTTTATTTTTAGCAGCAGCCGCCTTGAGATCTTTCAACGTTCTCTCTCTGGAGATGCAACACGACTCGGGCATTTAGAGAACAAGATGAAAATATTTCTCTCTCTGGAGATGCAACCCGATTCATGCGGGCATTTAGAGAACAAGATGAAAATAAAAACAGAGCCTATTATCTATAGCTGCCAGATAATGATTTAACAGAGAGCGTCCAGCGAGGAGAGTCCAGGACAATAATTACGTTAGAGTTTCAATCCAGTGTGATGAGATTTGGTCCATGTTTGTGTTTCTTCAGGGTTCTTCAGGGTGAAGTATCCTCACAGTGAGACACACAAAAACTGTTTTATTTTTACCTCAAGTCGATCGCCAATAGTAGATCAATTGCAACGTTGAGCTATGAAAATATGTTCCAAAGATTTCTTCTTCTTTAGACTGTTCCCTTCAGGGGTCACCACAGCCCACCACAGATCATCTGTCTCCAGCTCAGCCTTTAACACCACCCATCAAATATTTCAGTTTACCCAGCTTCGACTTGGAATGTGTTCTCTTTCTTATACAAACATGTTAACACATCCCACCAGTTTAACAACTCTGCCAAATGAAGTGACACGGCAGTTTTTGTCCTGGCTAATCCATCCGTCTAACCCCAGCGGCAGACCAGGACCTCATGTCGTCATACTAAAACAAGCACCTACAAGCACACATACACACACTGGAGTAATACTTCTGATTGAACCAGTAACCTGATACCTCCTCAGTTCGGTTTCTGTGACACTGACAAAGAAACACAAAGACCCGACACAGGGTCGGAGGAAAGACTAGATCCGTGTTTTGCGCTGGCCGACAATGGCCTGTGAGACTGATACTGTTCAGGCTATTAATAACAGCTGGTTCACTTTAACACTGACAGCATTGATGGCACTGTGACTTAGTGATGGACAGCATTTCTTTCTCCGAGCTGTAAGACAAGATAACATAGGACAACATGAAGGAAAAACTGAAAAAAGCTCTTTTACAATAAAGTCTGAATATGTTTCATTAAATTTACTGTTTGTGTTTAAATGTGAGCACAGATTAAGTGAAGTGAGAACTCACCAGAGGAATCAGCTTCCCATTAATTAAAAGGCAGAATTAACGGGCAAAAATATGCAGTGATGTCAGGACACAGTTTGACATCCAGCCACTAAACACTGCTGCATTTCAGGCTAATCTGAGTTTATCTATCATTCATAATCTGAAATAATTTATCAGATCATTCATTCATAATCTGAAATAATTTATCAGTATCTGATTTTTCTTACTAGGTCATATCAGTGGCAGAGAATTCTTCTTCAACACAGCAGTTACTACTGTTACCACCATGACTGACAGTGAGAAAAGACCTCTCAGGAAAAAGAGCAGCGATTTGTTCTAGAGCTGTGAAGCACTTTGGTCGACTGACACCTTCCTGCCCTGTCTTGTTTTTATCGCTGTGACTTTGTGACTCACTCTTCTAAAAGAGGAGCAGTGGGAGGCAAACGATGGTACATCTCGTTACCCCACGTCCTCTGGGCAAATCACAGCACAGAGAACCGTGTCCTGCACTTCCCGTCCAGATCTGTGCAGCTTTACATGCAACAAACTGAGAAAGAGGGAGATGAGGTACAGGAAACGCTGTGCACAAATAATACCTGAATAATACCAGCTGTTCACTTTCAATTTACTCCAATACCTTGATATTATAAAATAGCATGAGCAGCGTGTTCTGCCGTGACTCAAGGGAACAACACCGGAACAGCTTGTCTGTCAGCAGAGAGTACAGGTAGAAACCCGCTGTGTTCACTTTTCATCCATTCAAAGCTGAACAGAAGAAAATATATGAATTATGAATTCAATAATATAGATAGATATGAAGTAAATCTTTTGCAGGTAAGAGTCTAAAACAGAAACATTTCAGGACATATCACACATTTTCAGGACCAGCAAAGACAAATTTAACTTTGAACATGTATTTTGCAACTGTTTATGTTTGGGTTTCAATATACAGTATATATTCAATGAACACACACAAACATGCAAACACGCACCATCAAACACCTAACCACTGAATAATCCTCCTGTAAGTGTCCGAGTGTTAAAAAGCCCTCAGTGCACCTTAACAACAGGAGCCTAATTCTTAATTCCTGTATAAATTAGCATCGCCATGGCAACAGCAGGCAAGTAAGAGTGTTACATAAAACAACGGTTATGAGGCAACGGTAAGAAGTAGGACACACACCCTTGTGTTACCAGCAGCAGTCCATCTGATGGACATAAAAGTGAATGTTTTGCAGATGTTGCTCTGACTGTGAGCACCACTTCATTAGAAAGGTCCTCAAAGGTTTTATTGGACTTTCTTTATTGTCCACTTGACAGGCAAAGATGACAATAATAGAAAGAAAAACACTAATAAAGCAGACCTCAGATACTTCTGTGCAAAACAACATAAAAAGTTTGTGAAAGGAAGCAGAAGTGAGGTTGCAGGGTTGTGTTGAAACAGAACTAATCCAGGGGATTAAAGTGATGACATAGGATCTGGGACTGCAAATAAAGAAACATGTTCCATCACAACCTGCAGGATGCATGCACGTGCCTGACAGCTTCTCACTTCATCACCCGGGCTTTGGCCCCCGGCTTGTGGGGACTGGTTTAGAGATGAGGAGAAATGCAAGAGCAGATTAAAACTAGGCCAAAACTGACTGCAGGCTGTCATCATCCAAAACACACGCACTCTTTCTTCAGTCTTTTAATTTGCCCATATTTTTCCTCAAAACTGAAAGGAAGAGTTTGAGACTGACAGCACTCAAGCACAGCAGCTTGTTATGATCCTCTGAAATGTCAACCGCAGCCAGGAAGACAAACTCCAGTGTAATTAATTTACTCAGTCCGTTGTAAAAATGCCTCCACGCAAACGTAAACACCATGAAAACCCTAATCCCAAAAACCCCATGAGATTAACTTTAATATGAAATGCAGCAATTTGACTGCAAAACTACAAGAAACTCACTAGGAGTGTGTGATCAGCAGAGTTTATGAGAAGTAGCGCAACAAACAACATGACAAAGCCGTGAAGAATATTAACATACGTACATTGAGGCCAGAGCTCTGCAGAAAGCACTTATTATCTCAACATCAAGTGAAAAAGTAAAGATCTACAGTATTTCTCATATATACTCCATGAAACAAACTAAAGGATGTGGCCTAAATAACCCCAACATCAACCCACTGACAGTGAAGAATCCCACACCTTTGAACCTGAGAACAGAGACCCTGTTATGACTGAAGTCCACTCTGCTTTGTCACCTGTACGTTGACAGATGAAGGGCTTCGGCGGCAGAACACCCATCAAACAGACAACAGTGTGAGGTACTACGTGTGGTTAGAATACCTGACGTACAAAAGAAATCACAGGCTCGGTCAACAGTCACCCCTATAGATGTGAACACTCGCTCCACAGTCCACCCTTTGTGAGCTCTCAGTGGTGGAAAATTCCTGAAGGAACAAACATTGACACTGGACAAAGACAATGTCTCTGATGAAATGTTTGACTACTCACACTGTGTGGCAGTAAACAGGCGAAGTCGCTCGCTTTGGAAAAAACAGCTGATACCTACTGATCCCATCAACGGTAATCCACTACCTCACAACACCTAATCTTGATTAATTGTGATTAATGTTAATTAATCTGCTGTTTCCCTGTCATTGATTAGAATAACAAAGGTAATTGTTTGACCCTAAACCCTCCCTTCTACAGGGTCACTACTGTGGCTCTTCACAAAACCCTTCCTGATGCAATTTGTGGCCAAGGGACACATCGGCATACAGACCAGTGTCTAACTGTCAGTGTTCAATTTCAGGTTGAATGAGTTTTTGAGCAGACAGTTCAACCACATTTCCAATTGTTAGCTGCATTTAAATGGAAAACGGAGGTGCGTGACAGTTTGAACAGAGGTGTGTATGAATGGCTTGATGTGAATACAGGAATAGATGTTGTGTTGACTTGCATCGATTATTGGCAAGACAAGAAAAGCACAACGTGAGCATTGAAAAGTGACCAAAGCTGACATTCTCATCTGTAGGGATTACAGTTGTAGAAAGGAGCTGAGTTTCCATCTGCTTGACTGAGCTTCTCTGACCCAAAATAATCGAGTTGACTCACACACTGACCTCAATATGCAGAGCCTCGTGATCACACAACGCCGCCAATCGGGAATTTCTTAGAAAAAAAAGAAAGAAAAAAAAAACAAAACAAGAAACAGTATTAGCTGAAGAACACGCCAGTCATCTGATGGTGTTTAACCTTTCGTGACCAGAGGGTTGTGGAGCATGACTTTTGTAGAAGACAGAATCAAAGTCTGCTGAGGAAAGTGTGGGGCCAACTCCATCACATGACAGTCAAGACAGTTCAGCAATGAGCTGCAGAAATACATGGCATTAGGAGGCGTGGCCTAAATCAAGCCTTGAATCATTCACCAATACAGGTTATTAATACGTGCTGTTCAAAGGAACAGAACCAAAGATCATCTCACCAGTCATCCACTGACATTCATCTACTCGCATGTGTAGTGTGTTCACATTTCCTCGCACATCATAATCGTGAGCCAACACTCGCTCT